GCATGGTTGCCAACCCTACGAGCAGCCGTAAAACTTACGACACAAAAATAAATTTAAGTAACCGAAATCAAAACGGGTGAATTTCCCTTACAATAGTATATTCATTTTAGCCAGTTCTGATGATCAGACATATAATCCCTTTTACATAGTACATCTATGATAGGCTGGACATGAATTGACGCTCTGATTTATGTGAATTATATTTCTGAAATCCCCAATGATCTGAAAGAACTCGTATATTAAAAAAATATTAGGTATATCTCCAATGTGTAGGATTTAATGCTGAATTCCAATGTTATGACTGGGAGTTGTAGACTCCTAGTCATAACACCTGGCATTTGTCCAAAACGTTAAACGCAAAACGCTTGTGCTTGTGTTGAATATCCTTCAAATTTCTTCAAATTTCTGAGTTCTTTTGAATTTCCTTTTTTGAACCCACCTTAAAAAGTTATAAATGTTCTTTACCTCAATGTATTAAGCTATAATTTTTAACCAATTGCGATTCGTAAAAGCTCCTTAATTTTCAATGAACGAATTCTCTTAAATTGAGCGCTATAGGATAATTACAAGCCGGCCAAATTCTCTCTGAGTTTTTCATTTTAAACTAAATTTTGAATGAATATAAATTTCCTTGAAAATCGCAGCATTTTCTCACGAGTCCGCCTGTTATTGCGAGCTTCAACATCCAGTGTCTTGTGTTGACTACTGAAAGTATTAAGAATCTCATGTACGATGTTATTGTATAATCGAATATAAATGGAACTTCAGTTAATTAGATTCAGCAGTAATTATGCTCCACTCCCTGATCAAAAATTAAATGCAGTAAATGTCTCCGTGGAATAAAACTCTCCGCCTCCATGGGTAGTATTTCTAAAATTCGGCTTTCGTTCATGCGAGAGTCGAACAATTCTTCAGATGACGTTGGTAGATCAAAATGCAGGTTTAGCAAGTAATAATAATATATTACCAACGTTTCAAATGTGACTACATTCATTTTCAAGTTAAGAGAATCATGGAATAATTAGGGTAGTTGGACTATTAACTACGACACTGAGTATTACAAACAAGAATATCCATTTCAAGATCATTAATGAATTTAACAAGCTTGGTGACACCCTTGACAAAAACGTCAAACTCCTGACTATGTGCAACAATGGACCCTGCAAAAAAACGGGAGTTCTACAAGAGGCCGGCGCAGTCTACAAATTTTGCTTCACAGAAGGTTGTAGACTTCTTCATCATCTTCATCATTTGGACTACATTGGAGTAATTGAACTAACAACCATGACATCGAGACCGTCTCACCACCACCACCTTCAGTCTGCAGGACAGGGGGAACCCTTGAGACAAGCTCACAAGACCTTCGCTCGCACCGTGCTGGAGGAACCCACCAGCATCAGCATGCAGTGCTGGAGGAACCCACCTGCATCAGCATGCAGTGCTGGAGGAACCCACCAGCATCAGCATGCAGTGCTGGGGGAACCCACCAGCATCGGCATTATGCAGTGCTGGAGGAACCCACCAGCATCGGCATTATGCAGTGCTGGAGGAACCCACCAGCATCAGCATGCAGTGCTGGAGGAACCCACCAGCATCAGCATGCAGTGCTGGAGGAACCCACCAGCATCAGCATGCAGTGCTGGAGGAACCCACCATCATCAGCATGCAGTGCTGGAAGAACCCACCAGCATCAGCATGCAGAGGTGCACAACATTAACCGACCGACGATTTCTGGAACCCTCGTCATTTTTAATTGGATGAATTATATTTCCAGTAACCGGATTTGTCTGAACTTTGAGATTGTTTGCGGAGGGACTTTCTGGCTAGAAATTTTTGTGTTGTATCCTATTTACTTGTATTATGTACTTATTTCCAACAAAATTTCACTATTCAATGATTCCCTTAACTTTCAAATTAATGTTGTTACATTTGAAACGTCGTTAATATTTATTATTACTTGCTAAACCTGCCTTTTAATATACCAATATCAACTCAAGAATTGTTCAAACTGCTGGAAAATGGGAATGCATTCTCTAGTCATTAATTGTATGGATAAAAATAAGAAAATTTTGCCATCACATACTAATACATGTAAAATTGTAGAGAAATTAAGTGAATTATGATAAATTAAGATTTATCTCCACTGTCTTAAGACACGTTAATTGTAAATATAGTAAACTATTACTAGTAATAAAGTAAACTATTACACTACATCGGTGCCAGGAATGAATGTATACAGTACAGGGAATTTGTTATTCATCTTTTCTGTCAACGAAATCAAGATTAGTTCGGTCGTATTGTAGAATTTCATGTGCGCTGTTACAATTTGCCGTGCATCCGTTTGCAGTCTTGCTACATCACGGCGCTCTACTTCACGTTTTCGTCTCTCACGTCCGTTGGTTTTGGTAACGTTTCTCCTACAACAAATATCGAGAAAATCTTCACGATATTGTTTATGCTGCTCGGCTGTGAGTCGCTCCAGAATTTTTTTTTATGTCTGTCCTACCAGGCACTGTAAATTTCCAGGCATATCATATGGGTTAAGTTGTTCATCAAAAAACTGTGTTTTAACCGTAATAATACACAGTTAAAAACCGTATTATTGCACAATGTTATTGATACACCGTAGAACCGTATTATTGCATCACGTTTTCAACGAGATTGACAATCTTTTTCAAACGCAAGTCCACCAAATTCGCCGCCTCGTATTCGAAAAACTCTTCGGGTTAATGCGTTTCTGGTTTTATTATGCTTAGACTGGATATTTTCCATGTCTATTTGTTTTGATGTTAGCTTTTAAGATGCAACGTTTTAAGAACACGTACCTTGTCGTGTTGATCCTTGTGTAATTTCTTGCTGAGCTTATCATTTTTCCTGTATTATTTGCTGCACTCGTCACATTTAACAGAATCCTAGGATTTGTACATTGACATGAACATGAACTCTGCATTTGACTTAACTATATATATATTCTTAACTCTATATTCTCTAGTTCGAAATTAACATTAATGCTAATATTTGCAATTTTGGCTGCAGTTTTCCGGAGCAATGAAATGCACCTAATTTTACCAGGTTTCATTGAAGACCAGAGAGTATTTCTTATTGACAATTTTCTTATTGTTTTTCTCTATCCAGCGAATTAGGCTCTTGATAGGAAGTCAAAATCCAAATATCAGGTTTCCAAGAGGCATTTTATTATAATTTTACGACGTTTCGAATGCAACTAATTTTACCGTAGATGTCCTACCACGAAAGGTTGTTAACGGCTGGCAATATCCACGGAACATGATGGTGAAAACGTATCAGACGCCAGTCATTTTCGTAGAATGTCATTATCTTCTTCGTGTCTAATATCGTGGCTTGAAAGGTCGACCATTAAATATTCAGTATTGAACTACACCATTTTTGTGCGCATGTCTACCACTGAAATATAGGATCTTTAATTCGCATGAAAATTTATTTTGCGACTCTCTTATTTTTTGGGTTGAATTATTGACATGAAGAATTGTGTCGAGACTCGTGCAGTTTTGCTATTAATGTGTAAATTATTTTGTAGTTTATTATAGTACATCCGGTGTTTGAAAAATTGCCAAGAAAATAGGGGAATTCATTTTTATTACTAGAAATATTTTTAAGCTTGATCAACACGAAAACTTACGAATATCATGTCGATTCCAATTTAGCCAAATTTAGAGTCATAATTAGCCTTGTACTAGTTATTTCGCAACAAATATAAGAAATTCTAAAGATTTATCGTAATAATTTTTGTTTGAATATTTTTTGTATTTTGCAAGATTATTCATAGTATTTTTCATCTAATTTATCTCCTGCTACGTACATGTAAATATTCACTCATAATCAACCTTTCGAGTCGTGAATACATCTCGTCTCGCAGTCTCGTTACCTCACTGCGCTCTACTTCACCTTCTCGTCGCTCACTTCCGTGGGCTTCGGTAACGTTTCTCCGACCACCAATGCCGAAAAAATCTTCACCATTTTCGTCATGATGCTTGGGTGTATGCACACATGATTTTTGTTAACTGGATGCCTTACTGCTGCTAAAAAAACTGATCCATTTTGCTGGTCCTGATCTAAATATGCCACTTTACTTTAGAATAGATAATCGAACGTACGCGTATGGGCATAAGGAAATTTGTGTTGACATGGCTTTGTTGTTGAGCTAAGCAATTGAAATTTTATAGTTATTTGCTTCGTTAGGTATGATCTTGCTTCATAGGGTTATAATTAGTAGCAATACGTTTATTTATTAAATTAATTGATTAATGAAGACGGGTTTTCTGCTGGCCATTAGCTTTTAGCGGCCGTACCTTCACTAGCGCGTTGTTGAATTCGTTTGAATTAAGGTTTGTTTTGACCACTTTTCAATTACATTGACACTCGGAACTTTCGCTATAGCAAATCGCGGCATTTGTATTCAACATAAAACCGAAAGGAAATAGTGTTTTTATTCGATGTAATACTTTATGGTCCCTCTTCAATGCAATGGAAATGTTATACCATAACACACCAAATGGATTTTTAGCTATAATTTAGTTTCTTCAACCTGGGAATATTTCATACTGTCATAATTCAGTGGAATTAGGTTATTAATTTGCATGATTATTTTCCACGAAAAAAGTATCGAATCCATCATTGGGTTGTAAATCTGATTAAAAGAACAACACTAGATCTTCACGTGGCGTCTCCATGCACGTGCAAATTTTTGTAATGCCTTTCATATGATATTTCCCGGCTTAATGATCAGACTCCAGTTTTTTCCCGCCGTCTAAAATATTCTGGCGCCACTCTGGGTCCTTTCAAGACTCGTAAATTTTGAAAGTTTTCACTTGGTTGGATTTATTATTATTTTATTGAACAATAAAATACAAAAATGAACATTTCCGTGGGTCGAAATGAGCTCGAAGTGTTCCCTAGTCTGATGCCGCTCCCTTAATAACGGTCTGCGTGGAAGTCGAGCGAACCATGCGTCAATAATTTGGTTTGTGCAGAAAATATTCGTATTTTTCCCGTGAACTTTCTCATGCAGAATTATTGTTCAGATATTTTTATATTCATGGAATCTAGAGAATTCTTCTGCCGAGAATAACGGCCAGGGCTGAACTCGTAATAATCTCGGACGTGATATGGGACATGTCTATTTTCTCCTCAGTTTTACGCCTTGAAGTCTCAGTCCGTAAATGAACTGTCCTAAATGCAGAGTTTATCGATAGCTGATCAATTGAGGAGATACATCTGTTATCAGCTATACTTATTGTATAATTTTCTTTTCGTTAAATTTTGTTAATTTTTACTTAAAATAATTAATTATATCCAGATGAAAGCGTTTGCATTTAAAATGAAACAACTAGCAAGGTTTTCCGTTTTGTTTATACAAATTTTTCATTATCATTGTCCATGTTTCCACTTTAATCTTCAAGGCAACGATTCCACAATCTGCAGGAATTTGAAATTCGGACAACGAATATGCTTGTTTCGGATTGTGCTATTTTACGATAATGCAATGGTGCTCAATAACTGGAAAAACCTCAATAATAGTCGTAAGCGATTCGTACCCTATATCATGAATGTTATAATTGTTGCACTAGATGTAGATTAATGTCACGTATTGTGTGTTTTTCACCCCCCAGGCTAAGTACGTGACATCACTGTACTTCACGTTTAGCAGCCTCACGAGTGTAGGCTTCGGTAATGTCGCAGCTACCACAGATGCCGAGAAGATATTTACGATATTGGTGATGCTTGTAGGGTGTAAGTAGCCTTTCTCTCGCTCTTCTTTCGCATTTTATTTTCCTTCCTCTCTTATGTGCTAATTTCTTGACTCTTTTCATGTGCTTGCAGTAATGTAATAGTGTGTGTTTTTGTCTCTTCTCTTATACACTTTTTTGCATCTGAATGTAACACTTCGTCGATCTCAATTCTAGCTCGCGTTGAATGAGTTGCTATCACTTCGCTCGAACTTTAACTTTATTAATTTCTTTTTCAAAATTTCTCTTTGTTCAATCCGCACGACTGTCATTTCTTTGACGTCGATGAGCAGCTCTGAACTACAGGCTGCATATTTTTAACTTGCCTCAATAATGATTTTGATTAATTGATGCTAGAGTTCAGTAAATTTTGCAACTGTTCGTCGTTAATTTTAGCTTCATATTTCTGCACCAAGTTGCTATTAGGTTGGACACGGTACAAATGCCTTACCTATGTCTCTGACTTGTTTTATTTGTATGTATAAATTCTCAGTCCATTCTTTAGCACTAGTTTGTGCATGTTACAGAAATTTTTCTCTTAGCTGCAGCTTGATCCTTTCCCTCCCCCACATCTCCAAATTTTCTTTCTTGCTGATTTTCTGTAGGGAGTAAGAAATTGTGATTTACTTTCTTGCCGTCTATCTTGCCTTTTTTCTTATTGAGTGAGATTCTTAGTTCAAACGTACTTTATTTAGTGCTTCACGAAGCTACTTCAGTTGTGTGCTGCCCTAGCATGGTTGTGCCGATGATTCTCTTGCATAATTGACTGATATTATGTGTGTTATACTCTTACATTATTATAGGTTCGTTTTAATTTTTATTGTGGTAATGAGTATTCATCAAATCATGACATACGGCAGATATACTCCGCCATTTTTATTCGTCCAATTCTCGCTGTTGAAGATACTCTTGTCATAATCGAAGTAAGAATTTGGTGAATTTGGCTAATTTGTTGAATTGAAAGATTTTATTCAGGTGCATTGGAATTGAATAGATATTTGATTTTTTTCAGTTATAATTTGGCCCAGAATTTTGTAATTTTTCATTAATAACAACGCGAATAATTTTGACGATAATGGTGCATCTGTGTGCAGCACTTATGTACGCAAGCATCTTCGGTAACGTATCTGCCATCATCCAGCGACTGTACGCTGGTACAGCCAGATACCACACCCAGTTTATGAGAGTTAAAGAGTTTATACGCTTCTACCAGATACCAAATCCGCTCAGACAAAGAATGGAGGAATATTTTCAGGTGGGTTAAGATGCTTTTGTTGTTTTTTAATAAATATTTTTTGTAAACAAATAAGTCCCTGGTATTGATGCTCGAAAGGATTTGTCGCTAAACTCTTCCACCCTTGAGCCTTTGCATTTACATCTACCTTTGCAGATGTAGATTTTGCATTTACATCTGCACGCACAAATACCAATATAGAGAAATGGATTTTAAATGCATATCTAATAACTGCTTCCTATGCTTTAGCTAGCAGTGATTTGCTCGTATGTTATCTTCTTTTGAAGTAGTAAAATGAATATGATCACTAATCTTGTAAACCTTTTGATCACAGAAATGTATCACTCGATTCACAACATTTCATTTAGATTTTGATAGGGAGACATTTATGATATTGAAGTATTTGAGAGTGTTAAAATGCAAAGACTTCTCAAATAATTTTTTACTTATTTGGGAGAAAAAGACATCTGTTTTACATTTTTATTACATTTTTGTACCTTTCCTGTTACTTGTCTGGCTTTTCTATTTTAATTACGTTTCTCAATAAGTCAGCAGTTTTTTTTACCTATGATATGAACTATTGTGCATGCCATTAATGGTGACATTGTATTGATGTCATTAATGTTTGTTATGCACAGCACGCGTGGTCGTACACTAACGGTATCGACATGGGCGCCGTGCTGAACATGTTCCCCGAGTGCCTGCAAGCTGACATCAGCCTTCACCTCAACGAAAGCTTGTTCCAATCCTGCCCCTCTTTCGCGGGTGCTACACCAGGTTGCCTTAGGTCAGTGTCAGCATTATTATATCAATATTCTAAGAGCTATTCATCTTATTCATCATCAAAGAGCTATTCATCCTATTCATCATCAATCAAAGAGATTCATCAAAGAGCTATTCATCCACTTGAGGTAATTGAAGAAGACCAACGTTCCATTCATTCATTCAACGTTCTGGTTTACGTTTATGTTAGAATTATTCATTAAAATTATCCTTTATTTACTGATCTCTAAGTATCAACTATGTTTTGCCTCCGAATTCGTTTTTTTGAAATCTAAACCATGGAACAAAATATATAATTTTGTTCCATACTTATAATATGGAAATTATAATAATTAATAATTTCTATTACAGATTGAAAATCTAAACCATGGAACAAAATATATAATTTTGTTTCATAACTATAATTATTTAAACCATGATTATAATTATTTAAATTATAATAATTTTTAATTTCTGTTGCAGAGCTCTAAGTATGAAGTTCAGGACGACTCACGCGCCGCCCGGTGACACGCTTGTGCACAAAGGTGACGTGCTGACCGCCGTATACTTCATCGGCAGAGGATCCATTGAGATCCTCAAGGATGATGTCGTCATGGCCATATTGGGTGAGCTTTGTCGACCAACTCTCTACGTGACAGGATACAAACAGACTAATGTCATATAATTTTTATAAACATATGACCTATGTTTTTTGTAAATAAATAAGTTCCTGGTATTGATGGTCGAAAGATTTGCCGCTAAACTCTTCCATCCATTTAGCCTTTGCATTTACATCTACCTTTGCAGATGCAGTTTTTGCATTTACATCCTTGCGCGCACAAATACGAATAAAGTGAAATGGATTTTATCCCATTTCCTTAATAGACCTCCTTCATAAACCAAAAAATTTATAAACCATTTGAGCTCTATTCTTCACTCCAGTTGTCAATATCGACCAATTTCGCTCTGAAGGATAGATGAATCTTTAGTGTGTGAATTTTCAGTTCTTGCCACTGAAGGACCGTTGTATTCACGGTAATTATACAAGTCATTTGCCAATACAATCAATTATCGAGCAGGCAAAGTCAGCTGCCGTCAAGGCCGATAACTTCGCCTGCAGCTCCAAAGTTGCCGGCTTTCAATAGAAACGATCAATTTTTATAAACAATACTGAACCAGGTCTTTCTGGTGCGATTGCAACAGTTTTTTAGTTTAAATGTGTAACCCAACAACTCGTAGCTCTGACAAGTATTAAATGTTTTTTTTTTAGTGGCGAACGGCGAGGTATGTGCTGTTGAATTTGGCGATCGAATCCTATACATCACAGTTCTGACATGTATTATACATTTTTTGTGACAAGCGGCGAGGTATGTGCAGTTTCTGTTCAGTGGCGACTTATGTGGCATCGACATTTGACGATATATTTTTTTGCAGGCAAAAACGACATCTACGGGGAGAACCCGTGCATATACCCGTCCATAGGGAAGTCTTCGTGCAGCGTGCGGGCGTTGACGTACTGCGACCTGCACCGCATCATGCGCGACGACATCCTCGACGTGCTAGAACTCTACCCGGAGTTCCACGAGACTTTTGCGCGCAACATAGAGATTACGTTTAATCTTAGAGATGTGAGTGGTGATATCTTTCGATTAGTTTGTATTATAGGGAATATTGTGTAAAATCCATGAAGATGACGTTTAATCTTAGAGATGTGAGTGGTGATATATTTCGGCTCGTTTATATTATAGGGAATATTGTTTAAAATCCATGACGATGACGTATAAGCTAAGAGATGAGTGGTTATATCTTCCACATCATTAAATATGATATGGAATCATGTAAACAATGCACGAAGATGACGTTTAATCTTAGAGATGTGAGTGGTGATAGCTTCCACATCATTAAATATGATATGGAATCATGTGTAAAATGCATGAAGATGTCGTTTTATCTTAAAGATGTGAGCGGTGATATATTTCGGCTCGTTTATACTATACGGAATCGTGTGTAAAATGCATGGAGTAACCACTCAAGATGTAACCACTCACATACCTAGGATATGTGAGTGGTTACATCTTTCGGCTCGTTTATATGATAGGAAAAGTTGTGTAAAATCCATGAAGATAACTTTTAATTTGAGAGATTTGAGTGGTGATATTTTCAAGTTAATTTTCAGTTGTGTAGTCATAAGTAGAGTGCAACTTTCCATCTCGGAGATGTGATTGGCAGCTCATTTATCAGGCTTTGAATCGCAAGTAGAGTGCATGCATGGGTATACATTTAACCAAATTAAGAGGTGTGAGTGGCGACATCACGCTATCGATCTTCTGGCTCATCTATCGCTAATGTCTAGTATGAGTAGCATAAATAAGGATTGCGTTTAACTTCGACCATGTGAGTGGTGAGATCTCGCAGCTTATCAATCAGTCATTTAATCATAGGTAGAGTGCACGAAGAACCCTTTTAACAAATTTTTAGCTGTGGCCTTTCTCATAAAAGGTAAGCGGCACGCATTATCGCCTTTGAGAAGTTTTTTGTTACGGAAATGATAAAGTATTTCCCTTGAAACCAAGATAGATTCATTATAATGGTGCACGATATTGAGTCAGGTTTGTAGCTACATTCATAGTAACAAATTATTAGAGGAAGAATTTTCGAATTTTCACAATTATAGACGGCACGTTAATGCTATGGGACTCAATGAAATGACACAACGCGGAATAGAATTCCTCAGGAACAGGATCAACTGAGCTTCGAGCCCCAACGCATAATATCAACTGAGCTCCCAACCCATGTATATAATATCAACTTAGTGTAAATCCCCCACCCATAATCCCCGAACTCCGTCTTGAACTATCAACTGAGCTTCCAAATCCTGCATATAATATCAGTTGTTCTTCTAACCCATTCCTGCAAATCCTGCGTGTAATATCAACTGATCTAACGCATCCACGTGTCGCAGGAGGAAGTGTCGGGGGTCGACCCTGAAGTGATCCGCAAGAAGCGCGGGTCGCTCATGCGTCACAATTCCTTCGAGTCCGAAGAGACGCAAGTGAGAAGAAACGCATACCGCCTCCCCAGACGACGACGTAGGAACGTCAGGAAGAGACGCAGCAGCGAGGAGGACTCGGAGACGTGAGTATTTGTAGCCAAATAAGGAAATGTATTTACAGACTTCATGTTGAGACTTAAGTGCCTCCGATTGTATGGGAGACCTAAAACAAACTAGTGATGCATACCGAATGTTCCTAATAGAATAGAGTATTAATGCCTATTACTATGACGTGATGGAAATTAGCAAATCAAACAACATTTCGTACAAATTTATCAACAAATCTCACAGGGGTGGCTGTCTATGAAATTCTCAAGTGAGGTTCATTCATTTTCTAGGGTCATGGTTATTTAGTCTATATTATGTCTAGTAGTAAAAAGTAGCTTTCTTATTCTATAAGAGTGGCAAAAAACAACGTGTCAGCAGGCAAAGAACTGTTTTTTGTTCTTCCGCGGTACCATAGCTGTGCCAGGTGCAAGCAGTTAATGTAACACCATAAAGTTGTTATTTTGCAGCTGACCTCGACGATTTTTTTTACCTCACCATCACACTATCTTCCTTGAAGCGTCATCCATTTAATTAATTATCTCTGTACCCCAGCCATGAATTGCCGTATTTTAATACATTGAAAATGTTATTAGGGAGATATTTGTTCATTGAGAAGCCTGTTTTGGTAATAACAGTCTAAATGAATACCGAGTTATACTATCAGTGTGTAAAGAAGATGGAAGGCATCTTAAATATCCTTGCTTGCATGTTGGCAGAAAAGCCAATGTCAGAGGTTCTAGCCTGCAGCTAACACAGTAGATCAGGCTGGATGAAATACGTAATGTTCAAGTCGTTTAAATGTTGGGTAATACAACTTACTTGGCCGAATGATGCACTTTGAGACATTAATTACAACTCGGCATTGGTTAAAATCAATTATTCTACCCGGCTAACGAATTAGCCTAAGGACTCGTATCGTTTATAATTGAATCCCGATTAAAATCTTACCAAGTTTGAGGACCTGTTTTCTAATATTTCATCCTTTCGTGTTTATTGCAAGTTTTATTTAAAAATAATTGAGCGTATGAAATTACTTTTCTTCAAATATGTCTTTATTTAACCAATTTTCTTCGTATCCAGAGACCGTCGTCAATGCTATTGGCCTCGTGACTCATTCATCAGTTGACAAAGGGACAAGAATTTGCTTTTCTATTTTGTCGGAAAAGTTCTCTGAGGGATTTATTCGGCAGCCTTTACTATGTGTTTCTCTCCCGCTGTTGTCTTCACTTCCTCTTTGTCAAGTTACATATATTGTCCAGATCAATAGAACTTTCTGCAAACCTGTTCAATCTGAAACAGTTATACATTTTTCACTATGACAATCAGTAAATTAGTCAGCTTTCTGCAATAGATCCTCATTGTTTTTGTCTCTCAGTGACGGTTCAGGGGGCGATAGACGTGGTGGTGCTCCTGACGCTGACCCTGAGGGCGGTAGAGGAGGAGGAGGACCTAGCGGGAGTAGAAGCAAAGGTGGTCACGTCAACGGCAGCTGCGGCGCTGTGGTGGAGCGCGCCCCCGACCGCGGCGACGGGGCGCCGGGCGCTGCTCAAAATTCCGGCAAGACTGACTCGTCGTTCCTCAAACCGCCGCCGCACTCGGCCGAGGGCAAACCTAACCAGGGACGGTCGGGATTAACAGGTTCGTTGTGTGACTGCGTAATTTTATTCGTTGAAGTTATAATTTAAATAAACAATGAAAGGTTCATTGTGAAATTGTTAACAGGTTTATTGTGTGACTGCGTAATTGTATTCGTTGAACTTATAATATAAATAAACAATGAAAGGTTCATTTTGAAATTGTTACTTTATGTTTGATTTGTTAATTTTTAATTTTAATTGCTGCGAAATTGTGAGATAAAAGTTTTTATGTTGATTCCTTTTAACCTGAAATGCATTTTTTGGCTGCATCGTTCATGAAGCCATACGCGACTGTTAGACAAAATTCTTTTTATAATGAATAAGATTTACTCTTCTGCATCCGTTTTCGTTCAGCATTTACGTGCTATGATACTTCTTAGTATTTTTTTTCACTCACCAGTTTATTGACTACTCCGTTAAACAATTGGCGGATAATAATATTATAAATTAATTATAAGTCTAATTAATTTCTGCCGTATAACTGGTTAAACGGGTAATATTGATTAGGGAAAAGTCGGCTGTTAATTAACACCATTCGTTCTATTAGGTAATGAAAGATTATTCTAAAAAATTAATGTGTTTAGGTAACTGAAGTTGCATCATTGCCTTTCTGTCATTTTCCTAGTCTTCCTGGTATCCAATTTGAACATTTCAAGTATATCTAGATTCTAGATAGACCAAGGTTTCCTCGAGTTTTGTTATGGTTTAATATGAATTGTCGTCGATACATTTCAGTCGATAAAATGCATTCTTGTTCCTGCATTAGTCTGTAATTGAGGGCAATACGCACGTTGCTGCTCCTCAAGTTACCGTTTCTTGCGTAGTTCAGTTTCAAAAATACATCTTTACAAATATTATATGCAATACATCTGTCCAATACAAATATTATATGCAATACATCTGTCCAATATGCAATACTTCTTTCCAAATATTATATGCAATACATTTTTTCAAAATATTAAATGCAATACATCTGTCCAAATATTATATGCAATACCTACATCTTTCCAATTATTATATGCAATACACGAAGTCCGGATGCTAGTTTTCATCAAAATAAATATTTGATACTGCTCATAACTGCGCTTGCTTGAAGCTTCTCGCACGAAGACCTCCTGCATAATTTTTTGCGGCAATATTGGCAATATTTTAGTTCAACGGCGATGTGTTCAGTTGCGATTCATGTTTGTTTCATGCAGTTCTTAAGTATGTTCTTTTGGGTTTTCAGAGTGGATGACTTGCTCGGCGGTGGAGTGGAATCAAGCGCCCATCAAAGCCTCGATTTCCGGGAAGGACAAGGGCCGGGCAGCAGTCCGGGGGCCATCTCAGCGCCCCCATGCTCAGGAGGCGTCTTCTCAGGCGGTCCTCTGAGCATGACCAGTAGTTACGTGAGCAGCANGTGGAGCGCGCCCCCGACCGCGGCGACGGGGCGCCGGGCGCTGCTCAAAATTCCGGCAAGACTGACTCGTCGTTCCTCAAACCGCCGCCGCACTCGGCCGAGGGCAAACCTAACCAGGGACGGTCGGGATTAACAGGTTCGTTGTGTGACTGCGTAATTTTATTCGTTGAAGTTATAATTTAAATAAACAATGAAAGGTTCATTGTGAAATTGTTAACAGGTTTATTGTGTGACTGCGTAATTGTATTCGTTGAACTTATAATATAAATAAACAATGAAAGGTTCATTTTGAAATTGTTACTTTATGTTTGATTTGTTAATTTTTAATTTTAATTGCTGCGAAATTGTGAGATAAAAGTTTTTATGTTGATTCCTTTTAACCTGAAATGCATTTTTTGGCTGCATCGTTCATGAAGCCATACGCGACTGTTAGACAAAATTCTTTTTATAATGAATAAGATTTACTCTTCTGCATCCGTTTTCGTTCAGCATTTACGTGCTATGATACTTCTTAGTATTTTTTTTCACTCACCAGTTTATTGACTACTCCGTTAAACAATTGGCGGATAATAATATTATAAATTAATTATAAGTCTAATTAATTTCTGCCGTATAACTGGTTAAACGGGTAATATTGATTAGGGAAAAGTCGGCTGTTAATTAACACCATTCGTTCTATTAGGTAATGAAAGATTATTCTAAAAAATTAATGTGTTTAGGTAACTGAAGTTGCATCATTGCCTTTCTGTCATTTTCCTAGTCTTCCTGGTATCCAATTTGAACATTTAAACTAAATATAGTTGGATCTAGGTTTCCATAAGTTTTTTTATGGTTTGATATGAATGTGTCGTCGAGACATTTCAGTCGAGAAAATGCATTCTTGTTCCTGCATTAGTCTGTAATTGAGGGCAATACGCACGTTGCTGCTCCTCAAGTTACCGTTTCTTGCGTAGTTCAGTTTCAATAACGTGTATGCTTGCTGAGATCGTCTCTTCGTCACGTGCATGTCTGTATGGAGGATGTGGTATTTTTCCGCTCTTCTATTTGTTTTCTAGTGAAATGTTGAGAAACTTAACTTGTTGGGAATTGGACAATTCGCAGACGGGATTTGTGGCACGGCTTTCATGCCTTTTCAACAAACGAATAGACAAATCTTTTCTTGAAAGCAAAGTTAATTCTCTTCCTAAAATCCTACTCACCACTAGTGGGACGTTCATCGCTGTCGTTACGAATGAGCACGTTGTTCTGGTGCTAGTTTTAGGCTCAAAATATTTTAGTCTCGAGATTTTTAGTCTTATTCAGTCGAAACAGATTTTGTAGTCACATGCAATACCATCAGGGATCATGATAGATTTTTTGGAAATTTTCTGGGTATTTTTTATCGGTTTAGGACAACATCCTTGGTCATTGATCATCTGTATGCTAGTGAACATGAGCGTCAGTCCGATAGATTTATCATTTCTTGAGGCTCTTGGCACAATTGGTCTTGAAAACACGACGTTGTTAGACCCATGCCCGCGATCGCTCGTAACCTGAATGCCTTTATTATAGCGATGTCTATCGTTCTCGATAGTAACTAGAATGGCTTCAATAACACTGCTTGTCTCGGCTCCCAGCTCATGTGCTTAAGTTATCTTCAATTATTCATATAATGATTTGTTGAAAACAACCCAGAAGTTGTGAAGTTGTGCTCGCATATTTATACGTCTAACTGAAACTTCACTGAAACTTGAAAGTCTGTATTCCACCCTTAAGCACTTTACCTGAGAAGCAAAACTTTTCCAGATTTTATAATAATATTTGACTGTGTACTAGCTAAGTAGCTATAGTATTTCAGATACAATATTGTCCCGTAAATTTGAATGTTCTTTATGGTGATAGTTGTACCTAACTTGAACATTTTGTGTAGTCTGGCCATCCCTTTAAATAACCAGCCACCCTTCCAAATAACCATTAGTGTGCGGCAGTCTCGCAATCGTAATTTTTACTTTCTAAATAGAAATTTCCAGGCATATTTCTATATAAGATTATGAAAGTTTTGCAATTTTTTAATCTCTAGAAACTATGATTTCAGTTTAGTTTTCAACATTTTTTACCGAAATAAGTGGTCATTAACTAGTCTTTCCCTATGCTATTCCTAACGTAATGATTTCTTAATCCTCGTCTGCTCTTTCTTCTTAATAACTGGTAAATTTCAAGTGTTTGGGATTGTTATTTTTCCTTTCCCCGTGTAAAAGCTATACTATTAACGACTATTTATATTTTTCCGCGTTTGTTTAGGGGTGATTTCCCACCTGAAGCGTAGCTTTACTGACCTCTGGATACCCCAAAACGAAACTCGAATGGCTCGTTCCAGCACTCGACCTGGTAAGACGACGTTGCTATCGCGTCATTCATTGCTCCACTACACGTATATATTTGAACAGTCGTGTTTGGTGTCACCACTGAAGTAGAGCAACGCTTATCCAGCACTGTATTCGCTTCGTCGCTGCTATATTCCCAATTTTGTATATTTTTTCAGAGCCGTTTTCGTTCCTTGGACTGGGTTCGGTCTAATGAAGTTGAGGAAGTTTTTCTCTACTTTAAAGTGTTTTTACTTGATTGAATTTAGTATTCTAAGTATCGGTTCGCTATGTCTGATCAGGAATTAGAAGAATTATGTTTTTTGGATGAAAAAATAACAGATTAAGAAAAATTTTGTGGAAAATTCAATGAGGATTCCTAAGATGGACTTTTCTTTGCTGAGCTTGTCGAAATAGGTCCTTTAGCCTCGCATAAAAAAAAAACTCGAATATCTCCAGAATTCTTTTCAGTGATCGTGATTCCATATTGTCCATGTTATGCTCGATTGCTGATCGATTGAAAATTTATTTACGTTAATGAATGTTGACACCGTCTTGAGTTTAAATGTTTCCCGCATGTTTTTGTGTTAACCTCCTTGAAAACCCTGCAGCTTTTTATGTAACTCCCTATTTCAACCTAATGGCAATGCTTCATCGCAATGTTAAATTTTTATATTTGCAAAACGTGTAACAGTTTTCGCTGAACCTACCCATAGTTAGCAATCGATGTTATAGCTCATAGTTGATTCCCAGATGAATGTTTTCGGTTTATTAATTTTCGCCGGGACTTACAAAATATTCATAGAACCATTCTCGATCGTTTCCTTACTGAGCCCCTTTCTTGCACTTTATGAAAATTTAACTGAATAATACTGAAGCATTCGCGGTATCTACCCTAACAAAATTTGGGGACCGCCTAGGCTTCGGTCGAATAGTCACTACACTCGGCACAAAGTTATTCTGGGTTTGCCTGGCCACCCGACCGAAATCAGTTTCTGGTCAGAATCTCCTTTCCGACTTTATAGTCGCCTGAGAGTATAACTAGGGTTGGCCGAACCGAGTCACACTGAGCTAGGAAACTGCCCAGAGGCAGCCCTTCGAACCCTGAGTCGAAGTAGACATAGAGACGCTGATTTACGCGTAGTCCGAGTCCGAGGCGACCCCTAATGCAGCGTCGCTCACGCCTCTAAATTTTGTAAGGGTAGTAAGTTTGGCGGCGCATACGCTTTGCGTCAATTATTTGTTTATACTGTCAGTGACACGTCACTATAGTGTCATCCTAGGTATTTGCCGAATGTCTCACCCCGTTTCAATATTTTTCTTGTAAGTGCATTTGTTATGCCCATGTTGATTGTTTGCGGGCATGTGTCTCTGTTACTAATTCATGACCCAAAGTGCACGTCTTACTATTAAGTATCTAATTGCATGCTTCGTGTTAGAATATGGCTGATAACGCTATTGTTATTGTCTCGCTCATCAATATTCGTGCTGACAAAAAATTAAATAGTTTCTCGTGAATGTGAAGAATACCCATGCATCGTAGAGTGCTTTACTCTATAGATTCCTCAGCATAATGTGTGTTGAATAGTTTATAGAAATTTTTGGAAATTTAACTATGCGAGCATTTAGATATCGACGCGCCAATTATGAATCGGCTTTGCGCATTAGAGTTTAGTTTTTATTTCGAGCGGTCAATTTTTGAGTAGATTTTGTTTAACATTACTTGTTGTGTAAACAATAACGCTTATCTTCTGTTATTCATGATTCAAACTAATTTCAAATATTTATGAAAAATACGGCAGGACGGATAGGACGTATATGTTTGTACAGGATTTGATACATTCCCAACCGTCGGCTGAAATCAAGCCACGTTCTTAGCGAAGTGAACAAATTCTGAAGTAGAATTAAACTCTTTCATACCGCAGACTAATCTGCATGCATGACACTTAACTGGTCAAAGTAGAATACATTAACGAAAATAGTTTATTCTTGTTGTTATTAGATTTTCCAGAGTTTTCTTCGGGCCGCCAAATATTATTTTTAACTGTGATTGTGAGGCTAGACAGGTAGTTGCATCGAAGTTAAATTCAAGTTATTTCCCCTATGATTCATTCTGTTATTTTTAAGTTTTAATATCAACGCCATATAGTGTGTGAAACTCGCAAGGCACATCATTTGTGGGAAGTTTGATAAAATTGTATATTGTTGTTTTACTAACAATCTGCGGTCGGATGAATACCTTGAAATATTTTGGTAGTGATATATTTATTTACTGAATCGTGATTTTCCTTGAATTTAGTTATCTATGTGAATTACTTTCGGCAGCAAAGGCAGAAGGTATCTTGAACTCATTCTACCTCTTGACGCGTCGCTGTCATTTCTGCAAAAAAATGGAATAATGGACTATTGGTGCAATGTAAAATGGTGTGTGCTGAAGAAGCATGGTCTATATTACGTGAACGCTTGAGTCAGCTAGAACTGGAGATGGAACGAAAATTTCTTCTTTCTAGTTGATGTAAAATCGTTAGTCAATTTGAAGCAATCAATTTCTTACCCTTAAGATGATCCAAGGATCTGAACACGAGTGATGAACGATAATCGCAGTCTAATCTATTACTTGATTAGTCCTGCGATCGGTCCTTAACATCAGTCAATGATTTAAAAGGCATTAAATAGCTGACATTTTACAGTCGGCCGTGGAAAATCAACTTTTGTTCTGTAATCGGTGGCTTAGTTTACTCGCACTCTATTCGCCTTATATTCTGTCGTGTTATCCTTAATCCTCTACCACCTGACATGAGTAACCAGAGCAATATTGTCACAAGTCTACTTCCCAAAAAGGATACGTTCTAGTGAGTGCAAAATGACTTGCACTGATGGTTGCCGCCACGTACGACAACTTTAAAATGTTCTCTGTTGCGTACAAACATCCTCAGCTTGCTACACTCAATAGTTTACGTATAATTTAAGTTGAAAGTTATGTTCCCGGGGCCATACTTTCAAAACTCGCTAAGTGAACGTAAGTACTTACGCTCTAACTTCTTGTCTATGATTAGTGGATTTTGCTCGCAAGGCCGTCAATGATTGGGTTATGAACTTAAGTTTTTTTAACGATCTCTTAACTTTTTTGAAAGTATAGGCCCCGGAGAGTAAAATACGGAGGTAGAGAGTTGATTACTAAGACGCATGCCTGTGCAGGGGCGCTGTCCAGCGTCGTACGGGAGAGCAGGTCGCGCTGCTCGTCGCCCGGAGCGCCCGGCAAGGAGGACGCGCCGCTGCTCATGCACGAGGCGCCAAGTGAGTGTACCTTAAGCCTGGCCTTAAGTCGTGAACGAATATTGCAGTCTTGCTGACCTTCTTGCGTACAAAGGTCCTCAGGTTGCTACACTCAATAGTTTACGTATAATTCAAGTTGAAAGTTATGTTCCCGGAGAGTGACATACGGCGTTAGAGGGTTAAGTTGAAAGTTATGGCGCTAAGTGAGTGTACCTCAAGCCGGGCCTTAAGTATCTGCATCAAGGCGCTCAGCCGCAGTAGCCGTCTATGGAGATTCTTAGCTATGAATTCGACTGATAACTCCCCTCATAAATAAGATACAAGTCTGAAATGTGGAATGCTATCCTGGCTAATTATTTTCAATTTGTGGATATTAAGATAAATTATGTAAACTTTCTATTACCACTGTTTGTATTGTCACTGTTTGTATTACCATTTTGTACTACAATTTTGATGTCTACATAAGTCTAAATCTGCTACAATTTTGATGTCTACATTACAGTCTAAATCTGCTACAATTTTGATTTCTACATCAAAGTCTAAATCAGCTACAATTTTGATTTCTACATTACAGTCTAAATCTGCTACAATTTTGATGTCTGCATCACAGTCTAAATCTGCTACAATTTTGATGTTTACATCACAGTCTAAATCTGCTACATTTTTGATGTCTACATCACAGTCTAAATCTACAATCTGATGCGGATTTAGATGTCGCCAGTTGTTGTGCCTATATTTTCCGACACTTCAGAGAACTATATTTGCAATTATAAATATTGCCAAGAATGAGTATAGCTGAAAGTGTGTTGCTGTTCACTGCGCAGTAGCGTTCAGACAACTATATTTACAATTGTTAATATTGCCAAGAATNTGTGCGTGCTGTTCACTTCGCAGTAGCGTTCAGACAACTATATTTACAATTATAAATTTTGCAAAGAACGAGTGTGACTTAAAGTGTGTGCTGTTCACAACTATATTTTTAAGTGTTAATATTGCAAAGAAAGAGTACCTATAGCTGAAAGTGTGTGCTGTTCACTTCGCAGTAGCGGAATGTTCGAGTCCTGACCGTCGCGCGGACAGTCCCGTGTCGCGTCTGGGGGGCGGCGCCCCAGCGGGCAGCGGATTACACTTCAGCGACGTGCACGGCCTCAGCTACAGGATAGACACGCTCTCAAGGTCCTTCATTCTGCTACATGAAATCTTGTAGATTTCTTTTATGAATTCCTCAAAATGATTCATTACTTCACAAAATTCTTCATGAATTCGTCGAAATGATTCATGAATTCGTTAATAGGCTTCATTAATTCGTCAAAAGGTTTATTGTATTGGTCAAAACGCTTCATTTTTTTCGTCAAAATTTATAATTCAATCTTCTAAATGATGCAGTTAGAGGATAGTTTGTAAGAGCTACTATTCAGTAGGAGTTATTCTGCAAACCGCGAGCGCAATTTCAATAAGAAAGAATTTTGATTTCTTGCTAACTGCTTATTTTCATAGAATTTGGTCTACATTTTTGAAGGCCGCCGTGAATATCTGTGTAATTCTTCTGGCTTGTAGTATTTCTGTTTGCTTTCGATTAAAACTTTTCACAAAGATGAAAATTTCAATTGTGCAGGCAAGTTCACCATTTGGAAACTCGTGTCAGCGCAGATATTCAACAAATCCTGGTTTTGCTGCAGCTACAATACCAAAACTCCCAAGCCAAGCCGCACCCACTCCAGGACCAAGAAATTGTGAGGAAATTATTAATTATGAATATTATTTAATAATTACAATCCTATTGTGATATGCAATTGCACTGATTATAATCTTTACATAATTAGGAAAATAGAAACAGCGTAATCGGGACTGTCGAAAAACCCGCATAAAATAGTCCAACATTAAGAAGAAATTATTCCCCGGGTATAAATAAAAAAATTTCAAAAAATAGTTTAAATTTTTCCTCGCTTGTATTTCGTGCACCATTCTCTCCTGCATATTCCACACTAATTGTAGTATTTGTTCCTTGTTCATGCTATAGATTAATTAAAGGTGGTTCCTGAGATTTTTTAGCTCTCTGTGTGTTGTAAATTTTTCTTACTGTACAACTTTTTCGATAACATAAATTTATTGGCCGTATAAAACAAATTTATTTTTGCATTCAAAATTTTTAACTAGCCCGCTTTTTTAACTCTTGTTTTCCCCTTCTTAGTTTTTAATTATTATTTTAAATAATATTATCCAGATTTATTAACTATTATTATTCAATTATTGAATATTGATGTTTTTATTCAGTCTCCCCACACGGCCATCACTCTGAGCCCCGAAAGAAGACGCCTTTCTCCCGGGCGCCTGAGGGCGACCGTCTCAGCGAGCACCACGGGGCTGACATCCTGCACCTCCTACGCCTTCAGGGACCCCGCCAGGATGTTCAGAAGAGCCACGTCCCTACATGAGCCTCCAGCCTCACAACCTCTAGCCATGCATCAACGGTCCCTTGATGCTTCTAGACAACCTATGTGAGCCCTCATCCGCTGAAATGTTATATGCAATACATCTTTACAAATATTATATGCAATACATCTGTCCAATACAAATATTATACGCAATACATCTGTCCAAATATATGCACTACATCTTTCCAAATATTATATGCAATACACGAAGACCGGATGCTAGTTTTCATCAAAATAAATATTTGGTACTGCTCATAACTGCGCTTGCTTCAAGCTTCTCGCACGAAGTCCTCCTGCATAATTTTTTGCGGCAATATTGGTAATACTTTAGTTCAACGGCGATGTGTTTAGTTGTGATTCATGTTTGTTTCATGCAGTTCTTAAGTATGTTTCTTGGGGTTTTCAGAGTCGATGGCAATATTTTAGTTCAACGGCGATGTGTTTAGTTGTGATTCGTGTTTTTTTCATGCAGTTCTTAAGTATGTTTTTTGGGGATTTTCAGAGTCGATGGCAATATTTTAGTTGAACGGTGATGAGTTTAGTTGCGATTCATGTTTGTTTCATGCAGTTCTTAAGTACGTATGTTTTTTTTGGGTTTTCAGAGTCGATGGCAATATTTTCGTTCAAAGGCGATGAGTTTAGTTGTGATTCAGGTTTGTTTCTTGCAGTTCTTATGTTCTTTTACGTTTCCAGAGTGGATGACTTACTCGGCGGTGGAGTGGAATCAAGCGCGCATCAAAGCCTCGATTTCCGGGAAGGACAAGGGCCGGGCAGCAGTCCGGGGGCCATCTCAGCGCCCCCATGCTCAGGAGGCGTCTTCTCAGGCGGTCCTCTGAGCATGACCAGTAGTTACGTGAGCAGCAACGGCAGCAGCAACGGCAGTAACGGAGTAGCACACGCCAGGGCAGGAGTCAGCAGCCTGCCTCCAAGAACCTGTCCCTCCATGCCCATCACTCCTGACCTGGACACTGATGGCTCCAGACCTTCTCCTCCACGCAGTCAGTCACAGCCCACGGACCTAACACAGGTGAGTGCTGCAGCAGTCTGACATCACTCAGGTGAGTGCTGCAGCAGTCTGACATCACTCAGGCGAGTGCTGCAGCAGTCTGACATCACACTAGCTAGTACTGCAGCAGTTAGGCCAAACTCAAATGAATATTTCCACCAGCCCTACTGAGTTTACATCAAAAGAGTGAAGTGACCACCTGAAAAGTGACGTTTAAAAGCAATGCTCTGTTTTGCCTTGGTTTCTTTATTAAATATTCAGACGTAGTAGTCGCAGGTCAAGCTAGAGCCCGCCAGATAAGTTAGTTGCTGTTTTCTCTCATGACTCTCTTTGGAATAACTGAAGTGTTATTTTGATCCATACCCCTTTATAGTGTGGATTTTAACAGTTTTATTTGCGTGATTCTTCATTACTCAGGAAACTTCCTGGAAGCGAGATGTGTGTTCTCACGGTGTTAGAGGAACTGAAACTTTTATCATTTTCTTACTGTTACTTTTTTTCTTGAAACAACAAGTGAGGCTTGCACTCTTATATCTACGATCTCGAATTCGGCTCGTTAATAAAAAACATGAATTACTACTCACCTTAAATATCACAATTAAGTGACAAATGAACTTCAAAGCGCTATTTTTCACAAAGAAAACGGCCTTTATCGTTCACTGTCTGCTGGTAGTAACTGCCATAATCAATATTCGGCAATTCTAGTAAATGAATTTTTGGTTTGGCACTATCCGGTAGCGAGCGTTGATGGTACCTAGTCTACCGAAAAAAATCACTTTACCTGTCCTGCGTGTAAAACGCCTACAGTGCAATTATTTTTGTACGATGACCGAAATGCCTTAAAATTGTCACTTGACGTTACAATGCATGCATATTCAGTATAAAATACATGTAAATCAGTCGGTAAGTAAATAATGGACTAACACTGATAAATCATAGATGTGATCGTTAGATTCAGAGCTTCGGTGTTGCTTTGATTTGATCTGTTTTCTGTTCGGAAGCTTTAATGGAATTGCTGGCTAAATGTTGCAGAGTGTTGCTGACGCGTGTGGCTCTACGTGCAAAAACATAGGATAATTTACGTCGTTTTTTTTTTTTTTGTTCATGTTTACCCAACGCCTCGAACTAAAAAGGTTGAATACAATTCAGTCCAGCGGAGTATTATTTAAGTTCTCAGGAACACAATATTTCCACACCTAAGTTATGTCCTCAACTATGCAAATGTTCTAATTAACTACTTCCTACGTTTTAGAACAATAAATTCTACACAAATTGCATGTGTGCACATGATAAATTCTGCACTCTTTCACTCACGATAAGGATGAGTAGGATCCTCATCCTTCAACTTTTTGAAACCCTATTGTTAGTTTACTTTTAGAATAATCCATTACCAGCGTTTTTATTACGAATTATTTCGCAGTTCTTCGTACAACTTCATATTAATTAGTATATGTTAATTTGAGTATTAGACTCGAAAGATTTTACATTTAGTGTGGAGTTGATTTTAACAATTTTTCTTCACGCAACGTACAAAAAAAAAAGTATGGCCCCTGGTGAACGGATTTGGGGTCCCCAGGCGCGTGGCCGTCGCAAGTGCCGGTCTCCCCAGCAAAGCGGGTCCCAAACTGGAGGGACTCCAGGTAGCCTGGACCCTTGGGCACCTCGCAGGGAGGACTCCAAGGGGTCCGAGCCCGAGTCCTGGGGAGATTTTCGCTCCCTAACTGAAGCTCCCATAGCTCGACTAGAGTCCCTCGACGAAATGGATTCCCTTCCCGTGAGTTCCTCTAATCCTGCCTTGGGAGCAGCTCTCTGCGGCACTCTTAGCAGTGGTCGTCCCGACCTCCTATCTTTGCTTCCCAATCCTAAGGACTCTCTTGCATAGCCTGGGGCTTATTAAACCTAATCCTTTTTTTGGTGAATTGGGTGCGCAATTGAACTTCCCTCCGTCTTGTGCAGCCCTAACATGTGCCTTCAATGTGTAGATCGTTATTATTGATTTTGATTATGATTTATACTGACAATGTTTCTTGCTGAATGTTGCATCGTACGATTCAAGGAAATTTGTAACTTGTAATCTTTTCCGCTGTGAACGGCTCCTTTTGTTTATTTTCTCCTTTGAGATTCGTTCATGGGATATAAAAGTTCAGGAGTATAGTGCCAATTTTTAATTATTTGCTGGAAATCGTTGCCTTAGTTAACAACATTCTTCTAAGATTTGACTTGCATTTTCTCGGGACTATTTTTGTATGAGGTTTAATGTTTTGTGTGACATTTGATTAGTTCCATTATGTTCTAATATCACCAGAAGTGCAGAGGATAATTAAAATTTTTGAATATTCAAGTAAAATAGAGCATGTTTCAGTTGATTTAGTTTATGAAATCTGCAATCTGAGTTTTATCTGTTTCTCACTGACTAATTTATAGCGCGATAACTTCCTTGTATGTCGCATGCGTTGGTTGTCGTCTCTGACTAACCTTGCATGGATAGGATGCATGAACATATTTCACTTTAATACATTGTTATAACTTTATTTATGTTGCTAGCCCTAAAGTTTACATTTTTAATGACCATTGAAACATGGCCTTGCGTTCTCAAATATTGCTGTCAACAATTACTCCGTGCATTTGATGAACAATTGAAATTATTTTTCTCAAAGCAACAGTGCACGCGCAGACAAACATTCGCGAGAATTGTGATCGCCTCTCGTAGTTTCGTGCCTCAAATGCAAATGTTTTTACCTTCTCATGTGTTTCTTCGTTGCCTGATTTTGCGACCTAGAAATAATTCTTCTGAGTTATGTCGTGAACAATCCATTGTGGTAAAGCCATCAAACTGGCGCACTGTTTTAATTAATGTGCACAATATTATTGAAAAACATTCTTCCACCAGATGCACATTTGAACAAACTTGCTACTAACTATACTATGCAGAGATATGAATACGCTAGCTCATATTCCGGAAGTAGCACAATATCCGAAAGTAGTACAATACCGCTCATTATTATTTTTTTGATGCAAAATAAACTTATTGTTATTCATCACTAGGAGGTTCTTAGTTCAAAACGTTCGGAAGTTATACACATGATGTATTGTTTATTCTTACTTGTTCGTGACGTGTTAGTGTGTGCAATATTGTCTGCATCAATGTTCTCTCCTGTTCCTGATGTGTCGTGAAAGTGTGCTTTATACTTAATCTGAACTTTTAATTGTACATTTTTTGTACATACGTGTTAAATTGATAGTTTTTAATTTTTCTATAGCATTTTATCATATTAACTATGTTATTATTACTGTAGTATATCAAATGTGTTTTCATTACTTACATGACGTGGTAGACTGAGAGTTGGTGTTGTGGTGTTGTTCTAAGCGCCTCATTCTATCCTCTATTATTTATTATACGCTATTATTATTATTATTATTATTATTATTATGTGTTACGTGTGGTGTGCTGCTTTGCTAACTACGCGTCGTCGTTCCATGTCTCCAGAAGAGCCCATAGTGGTTCATCCTACGCTCTCCTCCTCGCCCATCCCCCCTCGCCCATTGCTGAAGAATGCGTAAGCTCTTCTATCTTTCTAAGGGCCCATACTTTCAAAAAAAGCTAAGAGATCGTAAGTTCATCAGCCAATCGTTGACGGCCTTTCAAGCAAAATCCACCAATCATAGACAAGAAAATAGAGCGTAAGTACTTACGTTCGTTTAGCTAATTTTGAAAGTATGTCCCCTGGCCTTCTAATTGTTGTTACCTCTAGAGGTGGTTTGCTATTAGCCAAAGAAGAGCTAATATTAGTAAATTGCTCCGTACTAACTAAAAAGTGATCCTGATAGGTACAAATTTCTTCAGTTTTGAATTCGTTTTCTTTACCCTCCGTCAATTCATCAAACTGATGATCGCTATCGTTGTTGTAGGAAAGCTTTATTAAATTCTGAATGTGCCCAAATCAGTTTTCACTTAAAAGTTATCGTTCCATTGCCATTGGAAACGCATTTTTCTTTGTTCCAGCATCTCCTACAAACTGTCAAAAGTTATGTCTGGAAAGGAAGTATAGAAATCTGCTAATGGTGAACCGCCTCTACTCATATCTTCAGTTTTACTCTCACTCTCTTTTCCTTTTTATTTAAATTTACGATTTGTACCAAATGTGATATTTTTCATATCCTTCTTTGCAATGAATATGAAGTAAGACAAGAAAGTTTATATTATCCAATTTAATGATCTGAAAACGTATTACAAAAAGGCGTTAAAAAGCGTTTATCTATGAAGAAATTTGGCAATTTCACCAGTTGCATAGTTAAAAATGTCTAAAATTTAACTACTCGCCAAAAGTTCTACTTAACACACTCATAAGTTAACAATGTTTTTTCCATACTGACTTTAATTTTCATCGGATAGGCTTACGTAAGTAAACTTATCGTAAGCCGCAGTTAAAAATTTCATCTCATTTCTTGCTTTTGACAATCGTGACCACATCACTTCAAGCCCAAGGTGTGCACTGATGCAATGTAAATGCCATTCAAAAAGAGTGGGGGTGGGCTGTTGTGCTCTTATTTTTTTATGCATAATTTCATCGGGTAAATCGAGAAGCTTCTCATTCAATTAATATATGCGTAAACGACGTATTTAGTATGAATTGACTGAGAGTGAATTTTGAAACGAAATAATCTAGCGGTTATTATTATATTTTTTAGTTAGGTGTTATTTCCATGTTTAATTTGCCTAATTTTGAGAGAATTCGATGAAAACTACTGCGATTTATTGTGTATTATTATGAAAAAACTTCATATGCATAGGAATTTCGAGCAGTAACTGGTCCCGTTACCGATACTTTGACCAACGCTAGTACGTTATTTATAAAGGTACCAGCGACAACGTAAATCTATTTAATGTTCATTCAAAGAATGTTGTGTCTTTGTGTCATTTTCATTACATTATCTTCTACAGGAGACTTTGAGTGAAACCAGTCCTTCGAGAGTACAACAAAAGCAGTCGCCTTCTTATTTACCTCAGTCTCGGCAGCAATCTCCTCTGCAACAACAAATTCCAAAAACTTTACAACAAAAACAACAGCAACAATCTCCATCTCAATCTCTACAATGTTCCCCACTGCAAAATACTCCGTTAACTCCACGGCAATATCCTCAGTTGCCACTATGCTCACCGACACGGCAGCTTGATTTTGATACGTCGTCTCCTCATCTCTCTAGGTCGTTTTCTCAACAAGCATCTCCAATTTTCTCTTCAGCAAAGCCTTTAAATTCTTCTACAGAGCAGTGCTCTGATCGACTTCATTTTCCTCTTGAATTCCCATCAAAACGACCGCAGTCTCCATTACAGCAAAAATTACTCTCGTCACAGCAACAAATATCTTCTCAACAGCAACATCTCATACAGACACAACAGCAGTCCCCGTTTCTGTTCGGTTTTCCTCCCATAAGAAAATCAATGCAAGGATCCTCTTCCTCGAAAAGTCCATGTGATACAACCGTGTCCATTGCAACGACATCATCTGGTTCGGAAGACAAGCCTTCTCAAGTTTAGCCGCGATATCTAAGCTAATTATTGTTATTCTCATCACCATTAGTAATAGCTGTTGATATTTTTGAGCAGAATATATGCGTTATGAGTTGATCATGAACACTTGTACCATTCTAGCCATTTACCGAAGATGTTAGTTCATTTTCCCCTTCATTAATTTTAGCTACATTTCGTTTTTGAGTTTTATTACCAGGATATTTTCAAAAATAATAAAGCAAGAACATCTGATGTTTCTAGGAAATTCCACCGATTACGTCGTTTCAATAGCAATTCTACACAGTTCCTGATTGCTGGAAAATCCGTTGTACGAAGTCGCGATTTACCTTTTATCCATAGCCCCTTCAAGTCCAAAAATAAATTTTATTCATATAGAAATTGTTTACTTGAAAAATTTTTTTATAATGAAACCATGTATAATCACGAGCATATAGAGGAGTGAATTTCCAATTTGTGTCGCTTTCTTTACCGTCTACAATTTGTATTGATAGAGCACCAGTCAGGAAAGTAGCGTTGTTTTCATGTCGAAGCATTAATTCGACTCAACACTATGCCTTTTATCACAATTTTACACGGATCACTCATGTCAATTGAGGTCACTGGACTATTTTTTGGAGAAGACAATGAGGAAGATTGTGACTTAGTCACCGTTAGTCTTCACTCAATTCTGTACTTGAAAGCATCGATAGAAATTTGCGTCCATCGAAGGAGAAACGTTACACCATCAAATCTAAATAAATGGACCACACATTCGGCACAAGTTCTGGATATAGAAATATCACCTTCCCGTTAAGAAATCCTAATTATTGTCCAGTTTACATTTTGAAATGGTTTGTACCTGTAATATCAGCAATTTTCTTTCAAATGAAATCTATCGCTAGTTTTAGAGTTAATTATACAACAACAATGATTTTTTACATTAAATTATTTTCCAATTGTACGCTATTAGGTTTTCTTTTTTATAGAATTTATTCACGGTTTCGTAAAAATTCAATGCAGAAATGAAGTAAGCGAACAATTTGATTTATTAATTTCTATCCTAACTAAGGTATCCCGGAATAGTATTTCCCTTCTCACGAATGAACTCCTTTCCCTGTCATGTACAGAGTCCTTTATTTCGTTCATTTTGCATTTCTATTTGGTTTGACTTTGATTCCAAGCATCAGAGTTGAGTATAGCTTGGATTGTGATAGATTGTGATCACCTGTCTATTGTTCGTCATTGAAAACTTGCTCTGTGACTGTCATTCAATTCTGGCCGTGTATGTCCCCCGGCTCTCTGTGTTTAAGCAATCTTCGTGTTATGTCATTCCGCTGTGAGTTTTTGCCAGTGCTCTTGTTTCCATTAAATATCCTCTAAAGAATATATCCATAAATATATTCTTGATAAGAAACTTTTAGTTCTATTCTATTCATAGTCTGGAACAGTATAAGTAATATGACGCATTTGTTTTTATTGAAAATTCTATTTACAGTATTCACGGACAAAATTTTAGTTTGCTTTTCGTCAAAATTATTAACTGATAGTCAGTGATAGATAATATTTTCGAAAATTATGCCAGTAACGTACTAATTTGGCACTGAATTCTCAAACATAATCAAAGAATCATGATCATTTCTTGTTATCTCACAAGTCCTAGAATAATGTCGCCATGATGAATGTAAAGCGAGTTCCTCTCAAGAACTCCTATTCATGGTGTCCCCTTCTCAGCAATATTTTTTATAATATCCAATTCAGGTTACTGTGTCGTTTATTATTGTATAATAGAGTATTTATCACAGAGTGTATATTATCTTGATTGCAGTATTCACCTTTTGTTTTCGTTTTGTTAATTCTATGTAGTGTTGAAAAGAACTACACGCTGGCTTTATAGTATGGGCACTACCATAGCCAATGAGACTCTTCTTATGATGAAGCAATACGCATATGTAGAACTAAGTTTTTACTCGTTTAAATGATAATGTTTAAGTGATATAAATCAACTTTATCTATAAAAGAGTGACATTCTCTCCAAACAAATAAAAGAACCAATAACGGCTAATTAGCTAGTGTCTTAGAATTCTTCTATTTACCCTTTGCTCTGAGAATTGTTGTAGAAGAAAGTTCTAGCTGCGCTTTTCAGTACTTATATTCCTAGAGAAAATTCGTTATTTGCATCCACTTGACTTTAAGTATTGAACCTCAGCGTGTATCATATGATGCATAATAATACACAAATATATCTACTAGAAATTAGTTAGTTCATCAACACTTCTTTATGGTTGCACCTGAAAAATATACTTCCTATCAACGATATTTGAGCTTGTTCTGATTTCACGTTACTGGCACATTGATAACTCACTGAGTTTTAAGGTTTCTTCGAGTCTCCCATCATCAAGGAACGTTTACAAGTTTCGGCATTGCATGTCATTTATAATAAATCAAACGTGTTGATTTTGTGTTACTCTTTCGATTTTGTCGACACTCAATTTTCGGGTAATGATAAAAAAGACTCGTATGCATGACGAATTCCAGGAGTGGCACGCAGAAGCTTTTTGCTCCAGTTTCTCGCCTTGTAGCTTGCCGATGCGAGAGGCCACACCTGTCTTCTGTAGCTGCTCTTTTTATATTGAATTTATTTCTATAAAGTTTGACTTGTTAAAAAATCTTTAAGAGTTTTTGTGATCGAGTTATTCGATTTATGAGGATAGCATGACATCCTAGAGGAGCTTTTAGGCCTTAGTTAAGTTTGAGCTCAGTTGTTGAATAGTTCTAGCGACTCGTTCGGATGTAGCGATGAGCTGGCCTTTAGTGATATTCTTATAGAATCAAGGCCACGAACTGATAAGGACCAAAGATACTCTTTATTCACAACATTTACAGATTAATGAGAGTAGTACAATTCTTGACATTATATTTAAGCATAAGGAATCTACTTCTCGTAGAGTTTGAAAGAGATATCTAAATACTTGAGTCGCATAAGATGTTTTTTATGTGCAATGATCATGCTTAGTTGAATGGGGTTGTGTGTCAATCATTATGCTTCTTACACAGATAATTCAGTTGATATTCAACTATCTTTGTACTTGCTAACTAAGAGGGAATAATTCGACAAGTATATGCGCTCAAGGAGCCCTTCTTTAATGTGTCAATACTTGGTCCTTATGAAGTTCGATTCGCGAACTAAAGAAACGACGCTGTAATATTATTGATAAGGAAGCATTGAGGAGGAAAGTGATGCCCTGTAAATTCATTTGATCTGTGCCTTCAGTCATGTAAAGCCCATATAACTAGACTCGTGAATGTCGTCTTGTATGATTTACGTTGCCTTTGACGCTACGCCTCGGCTTGCACTTTGTTTCAGTCTCTCTTCACCCTGGCTGCCTTTCGTATCCTTCTGCTGAACGGCTGCTAGTCTCAATTTCGCTTGCTATGAGATTCCCATCATTTCTGCTATATTAATCACGCATCTAACACAATCGTCAATTTGAGATTATCTTGGAAAAAATTGTATGTTTGGAAGTTTATGCTTTGGAACTTTGAGCACTTCAATTAGTGCTCAAAGTTCCTCACTAATCAGGTTTTAAATTAAAAAAAGATATTGATCACAATTTCTCACAAAGCAGCCCTCAGCAGCGAGCCTTATCTCTCCGAGCTTCTTAGTTCCCTGCCTTTATCTCCCGTTAGCTACCTACAAGCGTTTCCTGTATATTCTTATCTCCATTGTATCTTCTACGTATTTTTTTCGTCTTTTCTTCATGATCGTCGTTTGCGTGCTTCACCATTCACACTGCCTGTCCTCAGAATATCTGCGTATTCATTTCGTGCTTCGTACTCTGAGCTGATAATGAATTCGTTCCCACGAACGCCTGCTGCTCACTACATCAAATGATGATGATGTGTAAAATTCGAACGTCACGTCAAATAATGAAGCTGAAGCGTGCAATGACCTGATAACGGCATAAGATATCACTGGTTGACTTTTCTTGAGATTCTTCTTTGACACCTCATGCTTAGTATAATTTTTGTCAGATTTCATCTAGACTTTTATTGCACGAGGTAGAACTAATAATTGCGTGCTAAATAAATTTTATAATTATTATATGCAACATCGTTATAGACTCAAAAATAGTCTCGTATAATCGTCAGTCATTAAGAGTGCACGGATTCTTGCTAAAGTTAAATTGTAGTTAGCTCAAGTTTAATTCACGAATCATAATTAACGATTCGAAACGTTACTTCTACGGACAGCTATAATTCATCTGGATTTTGTTCATTACATTCTGAATAATGCCTCGAAGTTGACTGCATATTCATATGCGAGATGACCTTCTTTAATAAAAACTTGCATACTGTCTTGAATATCAACGTGTAATTTGATGACAAATATTCTTGTGCGCTTGAAAGCTTGTCTTGTAATTAGTAGCCTTGCAATGCGTTATCGACAACTTGATATCCATTGCTGAGAAACGCATGATCTTGAAAGTTAATATTTAGTCGAGAAGTTATAATTTAGTTGCGGCGTTCGGTACCTGAAACCAAAGAACTATTCATAGACTTGCTTCATATATATGAATTGCTCAGACCTCCTGTTAGGAAATTGATATTTTTTCCAATTTTGGTGCTTTCGAAACTTCGTCGAACTCCAAAATTTTTTTCGTCCTGCTACAATGTGAAGCCGAGGACTAAACTCGGCGATAGTGCTTCGTTTCGCCACTGCATCTTTGACGAAAGCAGACAGTGCGTTAACTCGGTAATGATTTTCATTCTTTGCACATATGTCACTTTTGCGCCCCAACATTCAACTCAAATAATAAATATTTTGTTCATTTCTCGTCTGCAGCAAAATTCCGTCTGTTGTCGGAAGTTTAGTAATCACCTTCATTTTTACTAATGTAGTCATCAATAATGTTCGCCATATTTTATTGTCATTTGTGACTGATCTATTGAATTGAAGTTACTCAGCATTTTATGGCCGCATCGTATTAGTTCACTCCTGTTCTCTAATTGCATGAACAATAACATCTATTGCCACTCGGGGCGCAGGGAAATTTCACATTAAAGTTTAAAAGCAAAACTTTCGTTATTCCTCCTTTTCAACTTCAAGAGATCTATACAGGGTCTATACTTTGTGAGGTTTATATAAGAGGTCTATGCAGACCTTAGTTTTACGTCGTTCGATATAGAATTGTAATTATGCCCTAAAAATGTTTCAAATTACTTGAGTAATAAGACTTTGTTATGTCAAGCAACTGCGCGTGTCGTTACGTTAGAATATTTTGAAATTTAATTGTTAATGTAATCAAAACTTGTAACAAAATCTTCCTAATAATATGAACTTAGAATTTTTCAAACATTCTTCACCAAATCCAAAAATTCAAAATCACATTGGTGATGACATTGTTTCTTGATAGAACTTTCTTGGCTCTCCGAACGCGATCAAGTTGTTGATTACATTATCGCACAAATTCGCTCTAGACCATCGGAAAGACACGCAACCATTGTTTTTTGAAGCATGCGCTGGCGTTCCGAGCATTTTTGAAATATATTTTGAAAATTATAGCGGAAAATGGCTAATTTCGATCAAGTCGGCCAGTAATGGTTTGATGTTTACGAACTGGAACGTACATGATCAGTTGGACAAGATTTTTTCAATGAAGATAAAAGTTAAGGGCATGAATTGTCTAACATATCATAAGGATTTCTTACGACAAGCTTTGAAATGTAATGTCGAAATTAGCAAAATTCCGAAAGTTGAGAGATAACCGGAAAATAACTTTTTTCAATAATACCAATTCACCGTTTTCCTTTATAAATTCAGTTCCATTTCAAACCAAATTTTATTTCGCTGATGAAATTTTAAACAATTCAGAACCTAAGCGAAAATTTCATGATCAGCTAATACCGAGATAATCGAACCTGTGCTGTATATAACTATAGCTTCCTTGGCTTTTATTGATAGGGTCACAAAATACTCGTAACTATTTGTAAAAAATTTACAACAAATTTTCACACAATAATATAACGCGACATATCCAAACAGGTTGCATCACCACCTATAGAGCGAGGCCCCGAACGCACGTTCGACGGCAAAAAAATAACCATCAACGAGGTTAATTTGGTGTAAACTTGATGCCTTCAGTGACACAGGCTGAACACAAGTCTATGCAACGCTCACACTGACGTTTAATCAATTTGTTCAATAATCCGGTACTAGCGCAAAATGTAAGCAGCGTAAGTCTACAAAGGGAGTATAGGTTAACTACAAAGGGAGTATAGGTTAACTGTAATAATGAATAGCAAGTTGTTTGTACAGTACGTAAGACGCACGCATATGACAACAGAGAAAATAAGTGCAGAAAATCGTATCTATATAACAGCATAACCTCACAATAGTTGCAATGAAACAGACAACTGAAATAAATTCAGAATGAAAAGGGCATTGTTCAGTTTTTCCACCGTATTAATGCAGCTGAAGTACTGTTCTAATGAACAGTTTATTACCACAGTTTATACCATCAATCCATCGGAAGTAACAGAGTAAACATCATTTACGATATGGCGGTGAGACTTCAATTCCCAGTCAACTTGACCTGACGAGAAAAAATTGGTGACGGGTGAACAGCAACAGAAGCGAAGGCATCCATACAGTAGAGCGCATGTACGAGACGTTGGCCGCCCATGAGAGAGGCACGAAGGAAGAGAATCCAGCCAACGCGACAACCTAACCTCACAACCAAAAACCGTCCATCCGACGTCCGGACCTCTTCGTGGTGGATGGACCCCTCCGGGGCGACCCGTTGCTCCCGGGCCGACCCGTTGCTCCGGGGCGACCCGTTGCTCCGGGGCGACCCGTTGCTCCCGGGGCTCCAAAACACGGACCCGCTGCGAGCAGATTTTCGGATTGGCGGCGCCCCCATGTGAGGCGTCGCTTTTCCCCGACAGCCGCAGCCCGAAACGATACCCGTGGATCTCAAACATCGTGATGAGGCGCTCAGGAACAATGGTCAAAGGTATCAAAGTTTCACAAGCCTTCCGACGAATGTGACGCGCATCCTGAGGCTTACCCTCCAGGGAGATGTCCTAGAAACAATCATATCACATGGCTTTTGTTGCACTTGCTCCCTGCAATAGAACGAAAATAACGTCGTGGAACAAATACTTTCAAAACAATGGTTAGAAGTTCTATCATATTAGTAGTTGGCAAGAACATATCAAGACTCAAGTCATCACAGTTAATTCCATTTATTGCATTCTTGTAAAATTTTAAAAACAGGGAGAAGACAACTTAGCGGCAGATCCCAAAATAAATAAGAACCTCAACTCTCACTGCGACGCAGTTGGGCAAAATATTAAAAATAAATATCCAACAAAATTTGTATCCAACAAGAGAACTACATCTCAATGACCAAAAATTTCACTTTTAGCAAACTGACTTCTGGATTTCGTCGGAAACTACATTTGAAAAAAAATATACTGGAAATGTTATTCTTTTGCAAGATCAAGCACATATCAAATCCTATGGAGGTTTAGGACTTCAGAAATAACGAAGAAAATCCTGATAACCGAGTGAAGATGAAAAATATTTGTTGCCTTATACAGAAAATAAAATAAACATATTTTTCGAACAATTCAGAGCATTGGGTCTTCCGGCGACACCAACAATTGGAATCAAACAGGGAATTTCTACAGAAAAACAATTCTAGTTTAGAGGACGTGCGGTGACAGCATCGATTGAAAAAAGTTCCTTAGAGTTTCTTGAAGGAAAATTGCATCTGTAGGTTTTGTCAAGAAACTGATGTTTGCAGTAAATCAAAGGAAAACCCATCAGGGAAATCACTAACATTCCATCAAAGACAGAAATGCCTCGCCGTTTTTAAACATCACACAATGATCGTTTAGACGAGTATAGACACACGTCAGTGAACCCCTTTGATAGGAGATATAGGACTATTGAACTATGAAGAACTGTTAATGGTAGAAATGTAAAGTGATGATAATATAGATAAGAGCAACTAAAGCAAGAGTGTCATGTTGCTGATAACAACGCTCGCCTTAAAACAAGTTCTAAAGTTTCGCTGCCTCGTGACTCCATCGAACGTAAACAGCAGGTGCCGTTCGTTGTGATCTTCATCTTTGTGCATCGCCAAGCAACAATGTTTGTCATACCATCACTAATCATTTCTATACAAAATAAATAAATACATCCTTGATAAAATGTAGGATACATCTTATTGTAAAATAACCTGAAATTTACAGTTCAGTTGAAAACAGAATCGAGGAAACCTACAATAATGGACCGTATGGTTTTCATATTCATAGATTTTACTAGATAGTTCATACAATTATTCAGCTACATTCATCTTGGTGGCGTATCGTTACCCACATTTTCTGTAAAAGGCGCCGACACCAATACATTAGGTGTTTATTTGTTTGTTTATTTTAGTGGCCTTAGTTGCTAGCGCTTCAGATCGAGCTAAATACATTAGGCAGGTGCCTTGTAACACAACAGACATGACCACTGCGTTGACCAGCCTCGATACCGTGTATTGGAAACGCAGCAGCAGCGAGTTGGCTAAGCAACCAAAACAAGAAGATGAACCTCATAAAATGAGTCACTGCAATTTTCACAAATTTAAACAGGCAAATTTTGCTACTAACCAAACAAATTACCAAAATAATTGAAGATTTCCCACACAAAAATACGAAAAATCTATAAAAACCTTGTTTTGGGACAATGAAATACCTCAAAAAAAAGTAAGATGTAAGTTGGAATATGAAAAATATATATATTTAGTTGCACACTTTTTCCTTTTGTAACAGCAATAGAAATACTGACATGGACTGAAGTCACGGTCCCGATATAAGCAAATATTTGATAATACAACTCTGATGCAAGCTCCCCACTCTCAACAATCTGCTATACCCACCGGGAAACATTTTTTCTTTACGAGAACAGCAATCAATCATTAACCTCTCGACTTCTCGAACTAAGAGGCTAGGCTCATTTCTCAACGCAATACTATACAGCAAACAAATGAATAATATTGAAAACCATGAAATGTCACCGAGATAACGAAATTATAACAACAGTAAGGTCCTTCCCATTCATGACAGACTAGGCGAGTTATTGAACCTCGTTCCTGCGTCAAAAATATAACAGCAACCTTAATCAGATGAAAGAATAGAATAGAATTGTCGGCACTGAAGAAATAGGCCCATGGCCTGTTGCCGATTAGCTTGCAGCTTGTGGCATAGCTTGTGATACACAATTACATCTACCACGTAAAACCAACACATGTAGAAAAATAAAGAAAAATCGTTCAAAGTCGCCAGAAATCAGTAGAAAAAAATCGTTCAAAGGGGCCAGAAATCAGTAGAAAAATGAAGAAAAATCGTTCAAAGTGGCCAAAAATCATTAATGAAAAATTATCTCTACGCAAGCTAGCTTTGAACAAGTTAATACCGACACTAAGACATGAACAGCAGCCAAAGACTCTAATGCAACTGAACTTTACGAATGAAATAAAGGGGAGCTTTTGACATCAAACTCAACACGACCAATAAAAGAGCCTCGAAAATCTTATCATAATCAACAATCAAAGTACAAATCTCGCAGCAACGTACGAATTTTAAATATAAGTTACCAAAAATAAAACTCATTCAAAAGTAAAAAAAGCGAACAACTTCACGCTGGGTAACTCTAAGATTCTTACACTTTACTTTTAGTTGGCTCGTATTGCAGCAGCAAGCGATCCCTCTTGTCCTATGAAGTTCAAGTGGATGTTCAGGATCACGATACAAAATTCCCATAAATATACAACCTGGCAATAAACATTCAATTATTTTCTCTAACACATACTTAGAAATAAATGGATCATCAGAAGTACAAGACTAACATGGGTAACGTCATCAAGTCTGGAATATAATACAAGTCAGATCGATGCCACTAAACAATCAAAGAACTAGACGTGCGCCAGCAGTGTCACATGAAGCTGTTGTCAATGCGCGATTTAATCTTTTAAAACCTAATTTAATTATTCACAACTGTAGGAATATGGAGTTAACGGTAAGTTATACAAGTTCATAATTATCACCAGTAACAGCGGTAAGAAAATTCTTTAAAATCCTTGGATGCATCTTAAGGAGATCAACTTTTCATAGTTAAATGCTTATCACGTTGCTGATACCGATAGCAATGTGACTAAAAATGACTGTGGATTTGAACACCAGATAGTCCCTAATATAATCGCAGGAAGGAAGTGAACATAAAAGCTTTAAGGAAGTCAACATGAAATCTTTGTCAGCAAATAAAATAACCAATGAAAGGGATTTAAGAAAATTTCTCATCGAAGAGATTTCTGACAAAAATTAAGAAAACACGGCCAGGATTCTAGGATTCATCCAGAACTAGTCTTAAATCACGAACAAAAATGAAGTAAATTTCAATTTAAAGCACGATAAAAATTCAAAAGGAACTGAGACCATGACAAGAACAATGGATGAAACAATAACTTGGTCAATGAATTGTAATTATTACAGCCCTTACTCGACCACAGTACATCACGAGTGCTATGGTGTAGAAATATTCAGATAAAAACATTATTAGATCGCATAATTCACATTATTTTTCAATAATTCTTCCCTTTGTCAATGCAGTTTCGTAATAAATAAGCAAGCTCACTAACAATGATATTATGTACACAATAACAGCTTGAAAATGTTCTCGATTGTTCAGATGAAGAACACAGGAGAAACTATAAAATAAGAATAGATTCAAGGCGAGTTTGAGCTCTGTTCTTGGCTCCATTGAGCACAAATTGTGAAGGTAAAAAACATATCAGGATTTCATAGATTAAAATTAAGGACATGCCTATCATTTATAATCTTCGCCATATATTCTTCCTAAAAATTGCAATAAAATTGGGGATAAAATATATGGACATAAAATGTGAAGCAAAACTAATCCATATATTAAAATGAAGTGAATGTCGTGTGTTATTCCATACAAATTTTCAAATGTTCCGCGATCTGCGTGCCGTCTTTACAACGGGCCAACAACATGGAATGGAAAAGTATTTCTGCTATAAGGAAGATACGGGCAATACTGTCATAAAAAATATTAGAATATCTACAACAGACATATGAAACAGATCTTTGCAACATTATAGTAATACAGTCTAGGGCACGTCAAGACGAGCGTCAAGGCAAAGGTTGACACTGGTTGCAGTTATCCATGAGGTTGGAGTTATAACGCTCGACTTGGATGGTCGTATGGAAGATGTGATGACGGTAACGAATAACTCGCTGGGCTGCGCGTAGCACGGTCTCAGACTCGTACTCGGGATCTGCCAAAACATTACAGCGCGTCATTGACCTGTTATTCACATGCATGAATGAATCTGGCCATTGCTACACCGTTAATTTGCTGATATATTTTGTAATCATTTTAAATATATCATTCGCTGATAACATAATATATCAGTGAATGAATCGGTCTATACAAACAAGCGTTTAGACGAACTGCGTAGTGCTAAACTCGTTCAGACATAAATGATAAGTTGGTTTTATAAAGAGCTGTCGAACAAAGACTCCGAGTGGTTCTTCTGCTCTTCCGCATGTATGGAAAAGTGAAAAATGATTTGCCAAAAAAAACTATACCAAAAGCACACAATTCAAATTTGACTGTCAAGATCACCTCGACTGCTCAATGGCGAAAAAAAGTAGATCCCCATGCAAGCCAATTGCTAGATAATGACCTACAACAAGGACAACCTCGATTGAACAATATCGGGAAAAAACCTTAAATATGAATACATCCCACAGGATTACATAATAGTTCTACATGAGCGAAAGAAACGAGTTTAGTCGTTGCTGAAAATAAATATGAAAAAAATATAACTCAGTACTCACTGCAGCGAGTGACAGAGAGCGCATTTTCTCGTCGACGAAAACTTGAGGTCACGGACGGACGGACAGACAGACAGACGGACGGACAGACAGACAGACGGACGGACAGACAGACGGACGGACAGACAGACAGACGGCATGGCACATAGTGCATTGGCACATTAGTGCATTTTTTCCATAAATGAGAAAATGCGCTAAAAATATCTCACCAATTGCAATATGTACGGAGAGAGCATTTTTGTCAGTGGTGAGCGTCCACACATGCAAGCTATGTATCATCCTGACGCCGGGGATCACGGCGAGGTTGGAGCAGATGGCGTTGTAGTCTACGCCAGGCGGCACGCCCTCCATCAGCACGCGGCAGATGTCCGTGATGATCGGCATCGTCGTGATCACAACGAGCCCGGAGAAGATAAACGTGCATATGGGGTCCGCTATTTTGTACTCAGGCTGTCGGTTGAACATTCTCAAGATAAATGAAACTTAAAAAGGAGGTGCACCTTGCATTACTAAAACATTCAATTGATGACTTTAATGTGTTACTAAACGTTTTTCGGAAAGGTTTAAATTATAAATGGAAACCGACATTAGAGTCATGATCAGTCAACGATTTGATTTAAAGCCACTGCTGCTAACGAAATAATTCCCTTTTTGGATGAGGAGAGGGGAATGAGCAAGAGAAGAGCCCTTACCATGACACGGTTAGATACTAGAGGCAGTTTGTCATAAAAGTTTCTCTGTAAATCTGAACAAATAAACTATTAACATCCACCAAACCAGAAGTGGAAGGCTCTCAACCAGTTAAACCATGACACGGTTAGATACTAGAGGCAAGTGGTCATAAAAGTTTCTCTGTAAATCTGAACAAATAAACTATTTATATCCACCAAACCAGAAGTGGAGGGCTATCCACCAGTTAAAATACGTACAAAAGCTCTAAACAAGTCAACATAAAATCTCACAGACAACATGTGATCAGCTGCTAGTCACTAAGCAAGACTCACATAAAATCTTATTATATACGCTGCAATGAGAACCCCGATGCTCTGTAGGAGGTCTCCAACGACATGTATAAACGCAGCACGGATGTTGATGTTCTTCGCGTTGTTCCTGGTTGGCTGCCTGCTGGTGCTGCTCGACGCGATCGGTGTGGTGGCGCTGCTGTGAGCCGTCACGCTGTTGTCTACGTTCACCACAACTTGTTCACTAGCGCCTGAAAAATTAATGTCACAAAGCATTGCTATTTCACAAGGAATTTAAAAGCAAAGAAACACCAAGCAAATTCACCAGATCGATATTGAAAACGTTGCGGAGTCCAGCTCCATCGTCAGTTCGAAAAATTAAAAATGAATAAAATCATATTAATATATCAAAGTTCTAAGACAGACATAAAACCTAAACAGCATTTATGAAGCATTGCAATTGCTATTCATACAAGGCATGGGCAATGCAACGACGAAAGACGGCATGCCTTCTCGATTCAGGGCCCAGATGCCGTGTCACATAAACCTCAAAAGAAGGACTTTTATGAACCAACAAATAAGGAATATTTTGTATATTTTACATAGCACATAATAAATAAATGACCGAGGCTTACCGCTAGAGTGGGAATGACTGTGTCCGTGACTGTGACCGCCAATGCCGTGGCTGTGGCCATGTCCACCACTGCCTGCGTGAAGCACCAACGCCAGGCTGCACAAATAGCAATGAAATACAATTTCGAAAAAATAAGATGGAAAGTAATTTGAATATCTGAAAAAAATACAGGACCCTATAAATATGAACAGGCTGAACATTAGGCAAAATAACCTTTCTCAGTTACAATAAATTAAAAATGCGATTAAAGTACATTTGCCCCAAAGGCCCAAACAAAATACAAAGTTTTGAGGGTGTCAGAAAGTTGAAGCAAGATTTTTTATTATCTTGTGTATAACCTTCATATACATACATTCAGACACATTTGCTCACGGAAGCTATTTCCTGTAAGAAAATTAAGATTTCATAATATTAAATTACTTACAACTTATATTTATTTGTTGAACAAGCACTTTTTAAACAAATAGATAATTCTTTTCCATCAAAGACAAAATTTCCCTATAAGATAACACCAAAATTATATCAGTTTATTTGACAGAACAGTGACAGTGTATCAGACTAACCGACGAGACCTTAATTTATTTGAACAATTTAAAAGATTTCATCTTATATGACCAACTGACGAAACTTCTGATTGTATGAGCAATCTAAATAATTTAATATGAAATTGTTGTGATTGTTTTACCCTACCTCTTTCGAAAATCATATCTCTTAATACCTGAACTATCTACTTCTGTTCATCCATATAATTATACTCAAGATGCTCACATAATATTCATGACAACGCCAATAGCTGCAATGATGATCATGAGGTCAGCTTCAACCTCAAAGTCCATGCTGATGACGCGCTCCACAGCAGCATACACCAGCACGCCCGTGATCACCCATATGAGCAGCACGCTCACCAGTGCACCCAGAACCTCTGCACAATCCAGTGTTGATTTAAGTGATTTATTATTTACTCATATTAGCAATAATGGATTTAATTATTCAAATACCACCCACTAGTGTGTCACTCCAACAACTTAGCGGCTGAACAGCATTACTGACTTGCAATGACTGAATTTGGCCATAAATAAGTAGCACAAAAAAAATGAGATCATAGTTATTGGTCTAAGCCACCTCTAGTGGCCTAAGCCACCTCTAGTGGCCTAAGTCACTGTTGATTGTTGATGGTACCATAATTCATAACAGTGAAGATTGAGTCAAAGGGGATGGGAAAGGCAGAATTATCAGCATCAAAGGAAATATGATCTCAAAGGTTCTATATATTTTCAGTACACTCAAGTCATAACAAAAATTCTTAAGAAATTCACTAAATAAACGAAAAAATTTAACTTGAGCTCTGCCAGTTCAAAAATAGAATGTCAAATATTTTTATTGTCAAAACCATTATGAACATATTTTTGAATAATCGGACGAATGATATCGCAAACCAATATTAATAAAGTAGAAAAATACATAAAGTTCTAATCATACTTGTATTGGTGGCTACCTAACCCAAAGTAGGACGAGATCTCAATGGATGACTAACAACACTAAAAGAAACTGTACAGCAAAATGATGACACTAATTTTAGGAATTTACACAAGAGCAGAAAAATAAAACATTTTACAATTCATCCTCCATGAAATTATTTGAACAAAAAAAATTTTTTTTTCAAAACAGAAAACCCCCAATAAAAACTGGCATAGTGAATGATAAAAATAAACATGCTATTCATTGAAAGCTATTGAGTGATTCATATCCCAATGAATAAATTTCACCTGCTCTATGATATCCAAAGTTCATTTTTCTTGAGGCAGGCCGCATAGCAAGATAGATTGCTATTAAAGACACCAAGAAGGAAGACAAGTCGCTGAACATGTGTGCAGCATCCGACATGATGGCTATGGAGTTGGACAGATATCCTCCAACCACCTCAGTCACCTGAGGAATTATTCAGAATTAGTTACAAAGATTAATTAATTCCTAATTATTCAAAAAACATAAACAAGAATGTAGAAAGCTCTACTTATTGCTGGGTTAGCAAATGGTTGCATCAGAAATAGAAAAATTATTTAATTTCCATAAAAATTATTTCATTTTCTTTGAAACAGAAGAGATAGTTTTGAGAACACTTGTAATTAGTAAATTAGGACACAAAAACTTAACCTCGATATGATGCCAAATGATGGCAATCAGGCTACTTAAGATAATAGAAGAAACAACAAATTAATGAAAACTATAAATAAGAAATTGAAGCAAATCACACAGCCAGCTGCACAGACAAAAGCAACATGAAAAACCATGATATTTCAAAATTTAGGTTTATTGAACCAAATTAATAATAAAAATCAACATGCATGCCTAAAATGCAGATTTTGTCAACCACAAATACTATGCTCTTGGAAAGGGACCTTGAGAATAAAGAAATGTTCTCACCATAAAAGTTGCTGTTAGAGCTGAGGCAATAAGGAGCTTTGTGATGGCTGCCTTGGAGCTGTTGAATGATGCTTTAGGTATGTGGCAGTGGTCTTCATCCATGGTCGCAGAAGTAGGGGCAGGTGGAAGCTGCCTCCTTCCACTGCCCATATTGACTTCAGGTAAGTCATCCTGGAAGAAATTGTCAAGCATTAAAAGTCAAGAATAATAGCACTGTGCCACAAGGCAATTGGGAGATATGTTCCAAAAATATTTTACTCATTATTGAATAATAATTTCACAATAAACCATCACAAATGAGTTGTTAAATGAATGAATTGAATATTTAAACTACTCTTGGAACACTTTAATGAGTCTCCCAGAAAGAAATTTGTTTAGGTTTGTTGCCTATTGTTTCAAGTACAATATGAATGACTATTTTATTTTTTATTGAGACTATGTACGTGTAAAATATGCAAAACTATGCCATCATAATTTAAATGAAAAAGAAATTGCTTTATATAAATTTTGGCACATTTTTTCCTTTATTCATGTCAATTGATATATGTAAAATTGATAATTATGTCAATTGATGATTATGTTGATTGATGATTATTTCAATTGAAAATTATGTCATATACTTATATTTTTAATATCAAACAGGGCAATAAGGGACAGGTGGGGTAAATTGGGAAAGTCCCCTGACATTTTGTAGAAATGTTGTAGTAACCAAACTAAGTAAAATATTGCAAAACAAAAAGTAGTGGCATAAAGTTCAGCATTTTTCCTATCTATGTAGCATAAAGCCAGTTAGGAAATTATACATTTACTACCTCTAGAAAATCCTTGAAAAAGTGTGAAAAGTGCGATTTTGGAAGAGTAGGGTAAACACACGTACCATATTCCAACACCTTGAGGATGTAGCAAGAAATGAATGGCTATAAATAGATCACCGTATGAGCAACTTGAGTTCCAGCAATGATGAAACGTCACAAACTGTTGCCATTTTTGTTTGAAAGCCTTTAGAATTCAAATCTACAAAATTACTGAATTCCGACACTGTGTGTGACTAAATGCGGCATATTGTGAGACTAATTCCAACAGCGCCTCAAAATTGTAATTCTGACACCCTGTGTTGGAATTCCGACACCCGTGTCAGCTGTGTCTGAATGCAACAGTAAGCGACACCCTGTGTGTCAGAATTAGTTTTTATGTGTCTAAAACCGTCTCTTAAATCAATCATCTATTAATTTATTTACCACTTAAAATCAGTAAATACATCATACATGTATACTTAACACATTGACCACGATGTGCGGCATATATGTACACACTGTACTTCTCAGAATCGCTATGTGTACACATGTGGTACATTCCTATGAAAAATACATATTTTTATATAATCTTATTACTCTTTCAAATTTAAAATTTCAATGATACAATTCAATAGACATGTTAGGGAATGCTTTGAAGTCAACTACTGCTTAGAGAAATAGTCTTATTTTCAAATGCAAGTAATACAAAAACTACAAAATTTGTGTCCATTGATGAAAGCAATATATATATCTATCTTTGCATGAAAACAAAATAAAATATTTTTTTATTGATCTGAAACTACAACATTGGGTGTTGCCAACATCATTATATTGCATACGTGATTGAAAAAAAATTATCGCACATGTATGGTTTTCCTTCACAGTCATCAAAATATTTTTTACCCTTCAAGTTTCACCTTTGCTACGGCTCTTCCCTCATTTGCTCAGAGCATGTTATAGCATTCATGGCAGCGCATCCTGGTTTTAGTTCTAGTTGGTTCAATGAAAGTTGGCTGTCCTCTTTCCCACTCAAAAATTTGAGATCTATATCCTGATTTTACTCTTTCTCTGTGATGCTGCTTGTAACAGAAGCTCAAGACAATATATACAATGAATGATCTCTATAAGATAAATATAACTGAACTAACAATGTAAATACCCTCAATTTTATTTAAGATTATGAAAACCTGGACACCAATCTCTTTCCATAGTAATTTCCATGCGTAATGTACATCGTTCACAAAAAGCTAAGAGATACCGGTGTCCGGAAGTCATAATGTGTGCAATTATGCACACATTATTTTTGAGTCATAATGTGTGCAATTATGACTCAAAACTAATGTAGGTTACTTGCACGCATCACTCACAGTAATAAAAGTGATAACTTTAGGCGTTTTTTGGCAATATGAGCCATAGATGCATGTCTTTACTTGGTACACATCACTCACAGTATTAGAAGTGATTACGCTAGGCAACGTGAGCCAATATGAAACACAACAGGCATGGCTTCACTTGGTACACATCACCAGGCCAGGAATAATGATGAATTTCAACCCTGAGATATGTGCACCAAATACGGTCACCAATTTTACGTGACACAATGACAGAACAGATCCCTGCATAGCTGCACACAACTTTTCTCCTTGCTATCTACCAGGTGCGGGTAACTGAAGATATACAAGTTTGAACCTATTGCCCGTACGGCATTCAGACCAAATCAGCAATCGCGGCCAATGTGTCAAAGGATTCCTAATATATTCACAGACTTATTTAAAAGTCTCAAACCATAATATTCTTTCTACACAAACAGTTTATCACTATTTAGTAAAGCAAGGTCAACTATCAACTTTCATACGTGTTTTGATGTTCTCACTAGTTGACTTGGAATTTTGCTTGGCAGATCTTAAGACTTTCCCGCTAGACCTAGTGTTTTGCGGAAATCTGGCGTGCAATAGTATGACATCACTATTTCAACCATCTACGTATGTGTGGAACTAAGACCAAGCTTAATATAAAGGAAAAAGTTGAGGGCGTCAGAATTACCCACACTCACAGTGTTGGACTGTCAGGATATAGTGCGTTTACCCTACCTCTGATAAAGTTTGTAGGAAAAAAATATTGGCAATATTGAAAAATATTTGTCATCAAACAATGTGGAAATAAAGGACCCCCCTCTCCCCCCCACATTTTGCAAATTAGAAATTTGTATCTGAAAATTTATAACAAGGTTATCAAAACATGAAGATGATTACATGAAAGATTAATGTGATCAAAATATAGTCACAGAATTCAAATCAAACATTAAATGCCATACTTTAATTTACTATACCTAGCAACATAGCTCAACTTTTGCAGATCAGACATGAGACACCAGATTTTTAAATATTGTGCAAATTGCAAAATTTCCAGCTTTCGTTTATTTTCTCTTAAATTTATTTCAAAATACAAACTTACATTCAAAAGAGGTACATCATCATCTACATCAGGAGCGGCATAAAATTGTTGAATGCTTTGATCGTATCTGCAACTTTCAGAAGTTACAAAATGAGTATTATGTCGGGAGAGAAATGGCGATCCAAGGAAAGACGTAGAAATAGAACGACACCTTCCGCAAAAAGAATGATGTGAAGCATCGTTCTCCAATAAAGTTAAAGAAGGTCCTGATGTATCGATTAATTTATCGTCGTTTACATGTTCATTTATAGATTTTGTATCTTCTCTCGGTATGTTAACAGAGTTAAATGTCTTATTTTCACCGCTCTCATCAGACTCCATGTTTACAAATAACATATGATGGTGATAAACTTTTGGACTTGAATAGACTTTTTGAAATTGCGTTCCCCGCCTCGAAGACTCACGATGTTGAGTTATTTATTCAATCATATATGTTATATGGTTCTATTTATATATGGAATAGTAACTTCTTACACGATTTTATGCATAATTTAATATATAGTTTGATTGCTTGCTCCAAAATTTCCAACTTTCTCCATATAAAATATGAAAAAGAATACAAAAACTTCCTACGCAATTATATGCATATTTTAATACATAATTTCATTACTCACTCCGAAAATTCGTGAAATTTTTTTTTAAATCTGCACAAAACTTAAAACTTTAGTCACATGCATTTCAATGTTAATTGAAAACTAAATTGTTAGATCAAATCCTTCAACTGAGATACTTCCTTTAGATTTCGTGTTATCTATGAATCATATTAAATAGCGTTCTCTTGACCCACGTCAAAATTTTTAAAAATCTCCACGATTAGACATTCTAAATAAAAAATGGCGAGCAATATGAACGGTAAGTCTTCCTTGGATTTGGGGCGTGGTCACTCTGAAGAAGAAAATTCCGGAAGCAGACCTTTACAACGGTCATCTGCCAGCTGCCACGCTGCTGGCCCACGCATCATATAATTTCACATGTTCTTTTTGTGAGTAGAAGAGAAAAGGCAAAGCAAGCCAGGTAGAACCGTAGAAGCGACATTACAGCAGAGGCTAAAGGGGGTGTGAAAGTTTGTGTTGAGGGTAAGATCAAAAGCAAGTGGAAGAGAAATTCAAGAGAAAATTTATTTGATTTATTATTGCTATATATGAGTATATAGCCCTACCACTTTTTCAAGTTATTGCATTTAGAGTTTATATTCAAATTAGATAGAGAACTACACAGTCCCTGAACTGAATGATTATTTGCGTTTTAAGACAGTTATTCATATATTATTTTTGTTTTTTTCCTTGCACCTTTCTGGCCTCCATTCTAATTCTTGCCAAGTTGCCTGTTGCCAGATGCTAGTGGCTAGCCCAACTTCCTCCTCTCCTTGCTCTTGTGGCTTTTCTTCAACAACAAAGTCACCCAGCTTTCATTCCATGCATCAGGCACACATTCATTGATCTGAACAACATTGGATAGATCATTCAGTTTGCCAATTACACTCCCGCCTCCTGTGACCTCCATACTTATACTTATACCATACATCTCATATGGTATCTCATTTCTCATCCATTCCAGCTGGGCAGCTGCCTTATTCAGTTCAGTTGCTCTACCATATAACACCTGTTTCACTTCCACATTTGTAATTTCCCTATGTTTACCATGTAGGTATATGTATACCAATCAGGCTCTTATGTTCTAGTGAGTTGAAATTTTCACCTGGCATAAATTTCTCATTCACCCCACCTATGTCTAATTAGAAATCTTTCACACTAAAATTCACAGCTTCAGCCATTCTTGTTCTCTCAAGTCTCAGTCATATACATTCCTTCTAACTTTAGCCCATCCACTCGCAGATCTTATTCCTTATTATTGTCTCATCTTAGGAAGGCAAAGCATTAGCGTCCACCTTTTTGCCCATTCATAATAAATTCATTCATCCAATTTTGCTCGCACTTCACAATATGGTTTCTAATGATAATTTTTGTTATTCTCTTTTGTTCTTCATACTTGAGCCTTGCTTCTTGATATTCCAGCTCATATTTCTCTCTCTCGGGCCTCTTTTTCCACAGTTGCTCACAGATTTGATTACATCTTTTTCATTCATTCATTTTGCCACTTTCACATCATTTCTCTACCATCTTTTATTCTTTCTTTGGTTTTTGCCTACATTCTTATTGGTCCTTGTGCATGTGACCCTGGCAGCCTCATTCATACATTTCTTAACTTATTCATTCATACCATTCACATAATTTGTTACTTCCCATTTTGTACTGGTCAGTAAGTTTAGCACTAAAATTATCCCTGTCCCTACCTCTCACTTGCCACTTACATTTTTTTTTTTGTCAGGCTCTCTTGCGTGTTTATCATGCATTTTCAACTTGGTAACAAGCATGTTATGATCACTTCTGATTTAAAACACACCAGCTTCATGCACCCACATGCACATCACTTCTCTTCTTGCGTTCTCATTCACCAATATAGTCAATTGCTGACCAGTTCTCTTTATTGCTCCAGGTTTCTTTCCCTGCAGCCATTGTAAGCTTCAGATTTCAAGTTCATTTTCATACACAAACAACTTGTTCAGAAGCTTCCCATTTTTGTTCACAGGCCCTCCTAGTATACCCACATGCCCATTCATGTCCTCCGTAACTATGATCATCTCAGAGCTATATTCATTGAGCACTTAATGCAAGCATACTTTTCTCTGTTCTCAAGGTCAGATTGTACTCCCTCCACAATCATGTAACAAACAGTCATCGCCATTTGCATCCTTTCATTCATAGTTGTTGCATACTCAATCTTCAGTTTGAGTAATCAATCAATCAATCAATCCCATACCCTTGCTCTTTACAGTCTCATCAACATTTATTTATTCTATCTCAAAACCAGCCTCACTGCAGACGATAATACCAACTCCCTGACCTTTAGTTTGTTGTTTACTTCTTCCCTTGTAAACTCATATTTTCTACTTCTCAAGCATCCACAACCTCTCAGATGTGTTTCTTACAGCCATCACATCCATATGCTGTTCCTCTAGTTCTTTGCATCTATCTTCATATTTTCCTAATCCAAACTCTCACACATTTATTTGACCCACTCACATAATATTTATTCAATTATGTCTAATCACATTCACTCCCACATTGTGTCACTCTCTACTGCTCCCTCATTGTTCAGCTTCACTCCATCTATTCTATACATATGCTCTTTCATTCTGTCAGGATCAATATAGCTCACTCTTTTCTCATGTTTTCTCATATATTCAACTTTCATTTTCTTCCGCCTCTGGAACACCTCCTCATTTACAATTCGTCATTTGCTCAAACATTCAGTCTTCCTTTTGTCATCTCAGAATGCCTGCCACAGCCACTGTCTGGTTTTTATTATGTGCCTCCATGGTTGTGTTTATGATTTCTTCAACAGTTTTATCCACCCCAATTTCACTTAGACCTTTGCCACCACCTTGCAAAATAAGTAAACTGCTATTTAAGCTCTCAGATTTTTTGCTTGCTTCTCCTCTTATTTTGATAATATCTGCTCTACTCGAGCATACAATTTTGCTCTCAGCCTCATTCACACTGACTTTTCCCCTAAGGGATCCAATCATACTGTTACCCACTATGACAATGGGAGCTTGACTGTTGTGTTTGTTGTTTGTGGACAGATATTCCACACAGGGTTGGCAATGATTAAATCAAAATGATTAAATCATGTGATTAAATCACTTGATTTTTTTATAAAAAATCATGATTTTTTTATTTTTTCGATTTATTTGATTTTTTCATATATTTAAATATATTGAGTGGCAGTCTTTAATTTATATTGAGGTATTGTTATTCATGGTTTAGCAT